TAGACGATTTTATTAAGAAACACTTTGTCTTGACCATATTTCTTAGTTTGTCATTTGGGAGTTGAAAAGGTGGAGACGTAATCTATGATAACTTGTAAAACAATACAAGAGTAAGCAGGCTGAATAAATAATGAAATATTTATACATATCTAAATTTAGATTAAGATATCTACTTAGAAATGACAAATACTGAGGCTACCTAAAATTAAACTGCACACAGATAAGAGGGATTAGTGTTAAATATAATTGAGTTACTAAAAAAGGGATTGGAAAATAATATTTATAGAGTTACTTATTAATTTTAATCAAATTTCTTTAAGGTTTTCTGCATTTCAATACGCATTCTCACACCTTTATCAGCGGAATTTTCCCCTCATTAGTATTCTGGTAAAATGAAGGAGCTCGTCCACTCCAACTTTCTAATTGAACTAATAGAATTCGTTATATTTTTTATACGCCATCGCACGCGTCAAAAGATAAGAGTCGCTGCGAATCCGGAGGGGGATGATTTCCTTATAATTGTCAGCGGAGGTGCAAAAGGAAGAGGGAAAATATATGCTCTGGACCCCCTCCTTTCCATTAGAGGATTATGAAATTTATAAAATATTTTCCCAAAGATTTTTCTCGCCACGAAAAGGCAAAAAAATCTTTGCTCTCCTGCCAAGTGCTAACTGCCGTCGGGGGAAAGGTCCGCGATGTACTTAACTGATTTCCGAGAATTTTCACACAAACACAGCTGCACAGGAGGGTGTCGCTGTGTGTGTGTATGTGTGTGCCTTGGCGTGTGTTGGTGTGGAGCAATCAGTTTAAAGCTGTCAGGACAGCGGCAAGGATTTTCAATGAGGCTATAAACCGGAAACTGCTGCGAGTAATGCGACGCAGGATCCTCCCGGCAGAATCATCATCATGTGGCCATTGCCAATGTTCGTGCGAGGATACTTTAATCAGAGCGAATGCGCTCGAGAACACACACTTACGTGGATACATCGAAAAAAAGATAGTTTGGAACATCCGCAAGGGAAAGTGCTGCGACAAGTATTAAAGCTCGTTATTTGAATGCCCATATCAACCTACAGTGTTCCCGATGGGCATAATGCATAACAATATAGGTATCATACAAGGTTAATTTCTAACGTAGATATCTTCAACTCAAAATATTTACAGGCAAACTTGTTTTAACGTTTCTAGAAAAGAAGAAAAACGCATCTGTAGTAACTAAAACTTGGTTACAACGGTATATCCCCATATTAAAACTATAAACGCATTCGTTGCAAATATTATGTAAATCATACTGTTTTGTGGCATTTAGTTGGCCATAATACATTTTTCTGATAGTGTAGGACTTTGTGCTTGTGTCGGTGGCGCTTTTCGGGGCTTAAAAGGCGGAGCTGGAGTGGAAGTCTGCTAGTTTTGTTCCCCGAACTCCCCTATACTCTACGTATGCCCCCTTGCGCAACGAATGTAAACCGGCGCCTGGAGCATTTTAGGCTCATCGTCGTCGTAGTCATCCGCATCCGCATCCGCATCCTCATCCACATCCCCATCCTCAGCGCCCATCGCCCATCGCCATCATGGCCATAGTGGGGCACTCATCCAGTCAAGAGCGGGGAAACGGCTTGCAGTTGTGGTCTGGATGAGCCGATTTTCTGTTTTCTATTGCGGGCCGGCAAAACGTTGACTCCTCAAGTTGTTATTTCAACTGTTTTTGCAGAAGCCCCCACTTTTCCACCGAGGGTGTTGTTATTGCCATTTGTTGTAACGCTGCTTGAGATGTCAAATAGCTGAGCGCTCTTGCAACAGCAACAACAGCAAATACAGCAACATCAACGGCAACAGCAACAACAACGCAGCAGGAAGCACTTGAAAATTGAAATCAAGCATTGGGGCGCCACTTTCGCAGTCGCAGTCGCAGTCGCCGTCGACGTCAACTGCGAAGCTAACGCAACTAAGAGAAAAACAACAAGAATAACATCTCGGCAGAGGGAACAAAGGTCCTCGCCTTCCTATTTGCATATGAATATGGAGCACTTGGAGGCAGGGCAGCTTTTGGGTTGTTGCTTCCCAGCCAGCAACAAGAATAACATCACCATCAGCTACAACAACCACAAACGATTTGCTGTTTGGCATATGAATAAACCAGCAACAACAACAAAGATCCGCAACGAAAACTTATTGCTGATGCTGTTGCTATATACCCTTAGACTAAAAACGGGTCGCTGTCCCTCGTGGCATAAAAAGGTTTTCGTCTACCAATAAGTTAGAAAAGTTTTCCCTGAATTTGAGATATCTTATCATACTAGTAACATGTAGAAAGAGCATTTTTCAGCCGAGAAGAGTGTACAAGTCTTCGGCTTCGCTATGCAAAGACCCCATCCACTTCGTCTTGGTTGTTGATGCCTCGGGAGGTTGTGGGTTGCCCCCGTAGCTTATGGTGTGCCTGCAGTGTATTGCCGGCGGCAACAATAACGCTCAACGCTTGTTGCTTTTGTTGTTGCTGTTGATGTAGCTGGCAGTGCAGGCGGTGGGCGCTAGATGGCGCCACACGCCGGCGAAAATTGAATAAGAGGCTCGACTTGAAGGCAATTGCCGAAGTAGGCAGGCAAGCGGAAAGCAGGAAGCTATACCAATAACAAACACACTCGCCGTAACTGAAGGGTCTCCCACACACATGCGAAGCTTATGCGGCGATATATCCCCATCGAATATTCCAGGAAAAATTGTTGAAATTGCATTTGTACAATGGAATTAGCTAAGAACGCACTCTCAGCCAAAATAATGTAGTTACCATTGCGGAATATATCATTAAATTAATGATTTCAATATGTTTTTGATAGTTTCACATGGTAGTACAAGCCATCCTCCGCACTTTACCCAAAATAAGCAACTTCTTCTGTTTCATCTGCTGCTGTGCCATGTAAGAGAGAATAATGAATGGGACATAGCTTCCACTTTTCCCTGGCTGTATTGCAAATTGAAAACTTTATGAAATCCCCCGCATGAACGTGGCAAACACACACACCCACACACCCACACACTGGCACGTAACAAGGAAAAGTTATGTAGTGTTCTGCGCCATGTTCCTTCGGATACCTTCCCCCATAGGTTTTCCTTTCCTTTCTTTTCTGTTTTTTATTTTCCCCCTTCGTTTTTGCTTGTTTTGGGTAACTTTGAATTTAATGGAAAATTTATTGACGACATGCCGCTTAGTCGTTTGACTTGGACTTTTGCCTTCGCCTTCGAGGCAGAGCCACCCGCCCACAATTTCGCCATTTCCTGGCCCCCAACTCCACCGCTCCCATCCTGGCTGCTCCGTCATGTGTGCAAAGTTTTCGCATTCGGTTTGCTTGGTCGGGATTCATGAACTCGCCCATGCCCTGCACTCCGGCTGATTCTGATTCTTCCAAGCAATTGGGGATAAATAGTTGATGATTGTGTGTGGTCGGTGGGTCGGTGGGTCGCTGGGCTACTCGGAAGTGGGAGGTTGGCAAGGAGACAGGGAAGAAATCGGAAAAATCCGGCGGTACTGATGAATGAGGGATGACCGCTTGATGTGTCTCGGATTGATTGATTGTCCCTTGCAATCCAATATGTTGCAGGACACTATTTGAATCGATTCATGCGGGTGGCCCGGGAATTACAGTGATAGCTCGCCATTTGCAAGGATATTGCCAAGACTGAGGCGTTTTTTTTTCCAACCAACCGCCTGACCATTTTTCTTAATATAAATGCGATAACAGGAACCAATTTGTATTTACTTAAATGTACAATTAATCTGTCCTTTCTAAGGAATTTAATTTGATTTAAATTGTGGCATTGCTGCTCTCGATATTCAATAAAAACAAAAATCTCTTTAAAGAAATTTAAATACCTGACGAACGATGGCTGTAAACTTTGTTTAAGGCCGGCACACATGACTTGCTTGGCCAACATCAAACGAAAAACTTGAATTTTTATATTTGAATTTGTGGTTCTTTGAAATGCTTACATTAAAAACGTGGGAATGCTGCAGATGACTGACGATTGGGGGTGGCTACAAAACTGGCTACAGCAATACAGGTGCCTCCACAACTTGCCATCTAATTGGCCGGCTTGAATCACAAAACCTCCCAGCAAAAGATAGACGTCATGGCTTTGACTTGTTCACTTACAATAAATTAGAATTATAACCTCGCTTAGCCAAATCAACGACGCAATAGCCTCGCAATAGCCGGCGTACATGCAAAGGGGACTATTCCGAAATCCTGGGGGTAAAAGCGGGGGTGTAAGCCCCCCAAAAGCAACCCCCAAAAGGACTAGGGCAGATGGCGAATATAAAACATTCAGAAATGCCGCGGCAAGGGGTAGTTATCCAGCCTGACGCCACAATCCTCAGCGGAATCGTGCCGCGGAAGACCGAAAAACTTTTCTCGCGTGTTTTACCAACTTTAATATTTCATGTTGCTGATTTTCTTTATGGGATTTGGCCGTGGAAATCCCGGGGACAAACGCCCAAACGAAGGAGCCCACACCTCACCAGTCCCAACCCCTTCAAACTCAACAAGTTTTTTTTTCTCCACGCTCCACGCTGAGAGTCTTACAAGACCTTTCGAGTGGAATGCGGACACGCCTGCCATGTTACGCCATTAGTTTATGATTATTGCCTGGAGTTTTGTGGGTCCCCAGCGGAGTTCCGGCTGGCACTTTGAATCAGTGTTGTCAACTTTTTTAAAATGAAATTTAGCCGCATTTCGGAAGTTCAAAAACTAGCAGCTGCTTGGTAAATTGTTTCAAGAGTGCTATTTTAAGCTTGGTTTAGAAATTTGTTTATACAAATTAGTGTTAGATTGAAAACTAATGTTTTTTAAGGTTTTTTCTACATTTGATCAACTATTGACGCACACTTAAAATTCTTATTTAAATCTGGTAGCCTAAAACACTCCAATTTGGGCGGCAAAACTGCCGAATTGGCATCACAACTGCGAATTCGGAGTGTGAAATATGACAGAGGTAACCACACTCACCTGTTGTCGATTCCTTGGTTAGTGTCAGTCGTCCATTGTGGTCGGTTAGCAGCAGCAGTAGGATCTCAATCAATTGAATCACAAAGAGGCGACGATTGTAAAACAAACACATTGCAATCCGACTTTTTGGTTGTCACCGCTTTCCGGCTGGGGCTCCTTTTTTTGGCCCAACCGCGATTGTAATTATGAATATATATCTTTCTATATCGTTTCGCGATTATTGGAACGTTAACGAACTCTTCACGCTTCCAGTCAATAAGATTAGCACGAGCATTTTCTCAATTCTCCGCTCACTGCGATGTTTGGCGTCGGAAATACATGGAAATCGGGGAGAAATCAAATCACCGAATTTTATTTACTAATCTAATGCACACACCCATGCACACACAAACACACACAAACGCCCACACACACAAAAGTATGCTAATACATTTGGGCAGAGGCATAAATATTTTACGCGTGCAACAGTGCGTATACTCAATTTGTTAAATAGTCCGCACAAACATGCCGCCAACACGATGGCCCGGCGCCAATGTCATCAGTTTGTCAACGCTCAAATCGGGAAATTGATGAGGTGCTGGAGGGGGGCATTAACTCGTGGTTTGGGGTGGAAAACCTCCCCAGGGGACAATGAAAATACATACCGAAATTGGATAAAGCCATATTTAAAATTAACCAATTTTCAGCTTCACTATGAGTTTTATCTTTGCGCTTCTATTTGAGCTTTTGCTTGCGCCATTTTGCTATCAAATCCAAAGAAGCTCTGTATGAGGAACTAAAAGTTTCAAGTTATTTTTAATATTACTGATTTACTTGATTACACTTTTCAAGCCATAAAGTTTTGAGAAAGTTTTCTAAAAGCCAGAGCCAAAGTTTTTCCCCTTGGTTTCTGTTGTTCTACGAACTGCAATTATTCCGTTCATGGTTTTTCTGAACTTTGTTTTTCGCCAATCTAGTTATATTCTATTCTATATTATATTCTATTATTATACCAAGAACTGTAACTTAATTTTCAAGAAGTTAGAATAGAATTGCGTTGAAAATTACTCATCTATATTATATTCTGTTGTTATACCAAGAACTATAACTTTTTTAAAAAGAGTATAGAATTACTCTTTTACTGTAGATATTTCTGCTGCTATCAGTTAGCATAATAACTTCTGCAATAAAAAATGGATCCTTCATCCTGTTTTTTTTTTCTTTTTTACCTCCCTTTTTACTTCCTCTGACGACATCCTTTTATCGGCCTTAAATTTGTACTGGCTTTTTGTGTGTGCTCAGACTTAAGCTGCGATAAATTCGCAGATTCTACGGCTCAGATTCTTCATCTGCCATTACGCACGCATCTCCATAATAATGATAGTAGTCATAATAATAATAATGATGATGATGGCGGTGATGATGCCACATAAAAGGCGGCGAAGCCCATTTCAATTTCAATTCCACAAAAGGCGCGTGTATCTTCAAGATACATTTCTATCTCGAGAGCGCAAATTTGCGCGGCAAACCGAAGCTCGCCAGCAAAAAATCGCATATATGAATGCTAAAATATATTTCGGTATCGTTGGCTTTACTATTATATTGTTGATGCCTCTGCTATTCGAACTATGAAAGGCTTTGCAAAAAGTATAGCACATCGCAGACAAACTTTTAACCGTATGACAATTGAAAAAAAAGAACTCGATAAATCAAAAGAAACATGAAAAAAGTGCTTGTGCGAATTTGAACTACGGTTTTTTGCTTTGAGTACACCGAAAAATAAAACAGAAAGTCATTTGCTTGTGATTACATGTCTAATAGCATTTAAATTTCTAGTAGAATTATACTATAAATACGGTCTGGCTTTTAAAATAAATTAATTAAAATAAAATAAAATTTGAATGCTTGTTGAAAATATAAAGTGAATACTACTTATTTGTTTTGTGTACTGTGGCGTTCATTTGTTTATAGCCCTGCGATATGAAACTTTTGGTCGTTTACAACTTTTTCGAAATATATTGTATAGTATTCAGTTTTGGTAAGATAAAGCCCAAAACTGGGAGATGAGCAAAAACCAAAAGCCGGCTGAGCAAAGGAAATCACATTGGGGTAGTTGTTGTTATATAAAACAAATTGTATGCGAATTTTTGCACAAAAACATACAGATACGCGGCGCACACAAACACACACACTCAGCCGCAAAATCCGGCGCTCAGGAAAACAGAGAGCGAAAGAGCAGATGAAGAGGACGAAGAGCAGGCGGAGGATGGGGATGATGAGGAGAACAAACGAATTTCAGCAACGACGCAAATTTCGATTTCCTCGAAATTTCTACCTTCTATTATGCTCGTTCCTCTGCCGACTGCTGCTTCTTCTTGCGCTGCTTGTTTGGGCATCATACACTTTTTTGTTTGCAAAAATAAAAAATAAGGAGAAGAAAACAGAGAAGAAGAAGCAACAGCGGCGGCAGCGCAGCTTACTAAGCTTTTTCGATGCCGCCGTTTTGCTCCTTGTTTTTGCTACGCTCTTGCTTTGCGTTTGCTTTTTTGGGTATTTTGCTTTTGCGTTTTTTTTGCGTTTTGCCTTTTGCGTGAACAAGAAGCAGCAGCAACTACTGTACTTGGAGTTTTTCCCTTGCTACATACATATGTATATCCTTTTTGCCGCTTTGTTTGTTTGGAATTTCTCAATTTTCAAATTCTGAAGCCACCCACACACACACGCACTCCCACTTGCACACACACATACGCACTTTACGCTTTTTTGTGCTTTGCTGCGTCTCCAGTTTCTTGTTATTTCGCCCTTTGTTGTATTATGTCATAATTTATTTGTCGCCCAGGACTAAACAATGCCGGAATTTTGCACAATTGATAAAGCCAATGAATCACATTTCGTTTTCATTAGCCCCCCACTCGTGCTGTCTCGCTCTATCTGGCTGCACCGGCTTCTCTCTTTTTACTTTTTACTTTTCCTGCTACCTTTGTTGTCTTTTTTGCATTTCCGCTTTACGTTTGTGTTTCGCTCGCACTCACGCACTCAAGCACACGCAAGCACAGACGCACACATAGCTGCAATTACTGTTGTTGCCCAGCTTGTTTAACTTTTGTTTGTTGTTTGCCACACACACACACGCACACACAGCGTCGTCGAAAATCGCAATATCGCGAATTTACAAGCGCCGGCAAAAATTTACTCGACAAATCCGCCCGCAAGTGCACAGAGCGACGCAGCAAACACGTCCAAACAATCTGTTCGCCATCGGAGAACTGAGCGCACCGAGCTTTGGCGCACTGCTTCACTTATGAATGGACGGCGGCGACAAGCAGCTCTTTCGGCGCGAGAGTGAGAGAGCAATAATCCGAGACCGAGTTTTTTCGAGTGCAGCATTCGCGATACTTCTTTATCTAACAACAATGTACATACGTGTAACTAAACTTGGTTCTGGGTTAATTCGTATTCGTTTCTGGGATATTTTGAACAATCTCGACGGAATTTTGGTAGAATTTTGTGGTAAAACTGCGCGCCAACTAACGGTTACGGTTCTTGGCTAGAGGTGGCCTAATGCTGTTTTACAGCGATGGTAAATATATCGATATTTTAGCCGATTCGCAATGGGCGCCGATTTGAATGCGGAGACGATTGCGATCAGATGGAAAATTCGTTTATCCTCTAAGCAAGCAATAAGTGAAAACTACTAACTACTTTATTAAGAGGTTGTCTTACTTGCAAAGTGAGAACATCACTGAACTTAAATTAGTCATCACTAAAATATACTTACCCCCAAAAATATCACTAAACATAAACATCGGATTAAACTTGAAATAAACATCTTTAAACATTCCAATGAACAAAATTCTAAAACATAGGCAGCAATTACAGCTCATGTTAACATACGAATACCTGTGGGGTATAAGCGGTTAACATTGCGTGTGCTTCACATGAAGCGGTTATAAAAGAGCAGGAACTTAAGAGAGTTTCCACGCTCATTTTACTCATTCAAATTGAACTTTGAAGAGAGCCGGCAACTTTTGTTTTTGTTTGCGACGCCAAAATTTCAATGTCGACGTTGACGTCGGCAGAGAAAGCTTTTCAGGCGGCAGAAAACAAACGGAAAAGGAATGCGAATAAAGCAAACAAGGAATACGTAATAAGTGCAGTTATTATTTGTTTGCTGAATATAGTACCAAGATGTAATGTTATTCCAGATTAATATATGTAGCTTATCTAAAGAAAGTGTATACATATGTACGTTTTATAGATTTATATGTATGTATATGTATAAAAATTCATATAAATATATATAATTATATGTATATGTATAAAAATTTATATTTATATGTATGTATATATATAAAAATACATCTAAATATATATATTTATATATTATATGAAAACCGCAAACGTATTTGACAATGCTCCATTTAAATGACTCCCTTTAACAAAAATAAGCAACATATGTTGAATCTTAATTTTTTTTGCTAAATTTCATATGAAAATCGAAGGCGCCAAACAAAAGGAGGAAATAGAGATGGCACACATAGCTAATGGTTGTTGTCTTGGATAAATGGTGTGGTGCATTCGCTATTAGTGTGACCAGACCACCCGTCGCGAAAAATACTCATAAGATGAGCGTGAGCGAAAATACCTCTTTGTGGTGAGAGGACTTATGACTTTTTCGTGGTTTTTCCAAAGCGTCACACTGCAAAGAGTTGTTGTTGCGCGCGGGTGGACGACGAGAAAAAATTGAAGACGCGGATGAAAACAACGGTGGATTTTCACCCAACGCTCGTGATTTTCGACCGCTTTTGAGTGAAGAAGAGAAACAAACCGCCTGTTTTTTAACTGCATGCCTGCGTGCGGCTGTGTGTGTGTGCGCGCGTGTACGTGTTCGTAGTTTAGACGCGCTGCTCGCCGCGATTTCTGTTGTTTTGTGTGGCCCCTGTAACAGTAAATACTCGTGCGAATAACGCGTCAAAGCGTGCGAAAAACGCAAGGAGAACACCAGATAGCGCCCTCTCTTTCACTTTTTCGCTTACTCCTTGCCGCCTTAGACTAGCATTTTGTTGTTGCGCAGCCTGCGCGCTTATGTGTGCTGGTGTGTGTGTGCTTGTCCTGCGAGCGTGTGTGTGTGTGTGTAAATTCCAAAACATACGCCGCTGCACAGTGGCACAAAAACGAGGGAAACCACGTAACGTAATAGCAATTTGGATTCCCGGCTTTCGGGCTTTGCCTGTGTGCGTGTGTCCGTTTGGGTGTGTCGCTTTGATGTTAATTTTCCGCTCAAGTTTTCCACTATTCCGCCATTCCATGCAGCTTCGTTGTCGAGTTGTCGAGAGGAAGCAACAAATGCGTTGCGTTTCGTTTCTTCTTCCTTTTAACTACGTGATGCAATGCGTTTAATGGCATTCCAACCAAGTGCCAATTAGAATTGATTATTATTCATTATTTCGCTTATTACCCACACAGGCGCGTGTTTGTGCGTTTGTGTGTAAGCGGCTCTCTTTTAGCGCCCTCGCTCTCTCTTTCTCTCTGTCTGACTCCCTCTCTCTTTCAAACAAACTCCAGTGAGCCGCAACAACAAAATGGCAAGGCCAGGCAACAAGAAAATAAAAAAAAGGCTATCTTACGTTTTCCCTTGCCGTTTCACGTAGCGCAACGCCTAACGTAATGCGCGAAGCAATCAAATAAATATAAATGAAATGTAAAATTTAATTACAGTGAAAAATGTGGGCGAAACGTGTGCGATAAATAAAAGCCCGAGATAGCGAAAGAAGAAAGAGTGTCCGACTTGGAGTCTGCTAAACAGGCGCTGTCGATGTCCGCCAGTTAGCCAAGTTCAGAGACATCCTACGATCAAAACGAGCTAACGTTGCAATAAAAAAACGCCCCCTCCTTTCCCTCCCCCACAACTAATCGAAAAGCCGGCAAGACGACGTCCAAGAAGAAGCAGTCACAGCCGACGCGGCCGAAGACGAGCAGCATGTTCAAGTGCATTCCCATCTTCAAGGGCTGCAATCGGCAGGTGGAGTTCGTGGACAAGCGCCACTGCTCCCTGCCGCAGGTCCCCGAGGAGATCCTCCGGTACTCGCGGACTCTGGAGGAGCTCTTCCTGGACGCCAACCACATCCGGGACTTGCCCAAGGTGAGTGCCAAGCCTAGAAATCCTTAGAAAGAACTGGAAGAACGACCTTAAAAGACACGGACTAATTTCATGGAAATATAAAAATACGAAACTTGGGTTGCATATTGTAAAATCCTTTCATTGAACGCCACTCCGATTTATTTGCGAACTTTGGTTTCTTAGATTTCTAGCTTCATCATCCGTAGAATTTTGCTAACCAGATGGGAAAACATGAGCACATTTGACCACAAATCGAATGTTTACTTCTGCAATGAATAACAGAAAATTTTATTAGGTCTTGAAAAACTAATGATTCATGGCAAGAAATAGTCATTAGAAAAACAAGGCATTCCATTGTATGCAGTATAATTATCCATCATAAAATACGAAAACAATATACACATCGTTGCAAAAGATAATGAAACATCGTTTTGTATATATTGAATAAACTACAACGACCTCTTAATGTTATGATTTAGTCAGCGGTGTGAGTTTGGAGAAATTTGGCTAAGGAAAAAGCGAAGTTCGGATTAGAAAAAGTTGTACTGTACTGAAAAGCAACCAGGGCTGACTTGACTGACTCCACTGAATCTCAACTTTTGGTGCTGGGTGGTGCAAAACCGTAAATGTCATAGTTCAAAGTGCGTGGGAAATTGAATAAATTCCACGGAGTCAGGTTTGGTTGAGGGAAAACCCACATCAGATAGTGGGTGGTGAATGAAAATGAAATATTAATAGATGCAGTGTTTGTTTGTGCTAAAGTGGAGAAAAGTCTCGAGTTCACGTATACCTTGCACGTATACCTTTTGTTTTATTTTAAATATTTAAATTTATATATAAGGCAAACAAGCCCGCACTCCAGATCAATTTCCAGGCAACATGTCGGCCCCTAGAAATATGTTCATAAATGCCAATAGACCAATAGGTTGAACATTCCGATAGGACTGTTTGATCTGCTCAAACCCCTCGCTTTTATCTGTTTAACAACTTTGAACAACGGCCTTGTCTGGCGGTGATGGCGATGGCTTTACATTGGCAAACGTGTCCCACCGAATGGCCTGGTCCTAAGCTCAAGGGGTTGATGGCTGGGCACGTAATTTGCATCCCCGGGTGCGTTGACCCCGCCCAGGGCCATTCCTTCACCTCCTCCTCCTCCTCCTCTGGCGCAATGAACATATATCTTTTATTTTTGTATTTTCCCCGTGAAAAGCCCGCAGTCAGGGCCATTCTCCTTTGGTCAGCTATCTGCTGGAGCATCGCGCCGTTTACCATTTACCAAGACAACAATTACGACAAAAGAAGTTTCCCTCGGCCGAGAGCGGAAGTCTTTAATTAATGGGGGGAATTGGGGGGAATGAATCGCCAAGTGGGCAGCACTCATTGCCTTTTCTTTGACACTGGTGCAGCCATCATAATGGAGAGCTGGCGTAGCTGCATAATTGAATCTGCAATTACGCAACTGGCGATCAAAGCTCCGCCAAGTGCTGCATTCTAATTAGTGGCCAAGTGCCCCCGATAATAGCCACATAAATTGGGTGTGGTCGCTTTTCCAAATAATTCTTCTGTTTCGTTGGCCGGTGAATAGTTCTGTCGCGGTTGTTTATTTGGCTTTGGCCAGCGGTCTTCCGCCACGATTGCAGCTGGTAAATAAACAAGTAAACAAGCCAGCAGTCGGACATAAACATTAGTGCTGGCTCGTTGACATAGCAACAAGTTGTGGGCGGTGGCAAATAGATAGCTCGGTGCTTGCTGTTGCAACTGCAATTCATTTGCGGTCAGCTTGCGGAGGCCTTCTTGCAGTTTCCCTACTGATTTACCCCAGCATTTGCATCAGCCGCACTCACTAATGAACTTCTAATGCAAATGCAGACCGCTCTTCCAGCTTTTATTGGAGCAGCCACATGTTGCAACCGCAGCAACTACATGTTGCCGTGGGGCATCAACAGAAACAGCAGCAGAAGCAGCAACTACAATGGACTAGTCTGCCATATAATGATGATGTTCTGGCGGCGGGTTCGTTCGAATGCTAAGCAAAATGACAGCAGCGGATGTGATTGTTGCTTCAGTTTAGCTTCTGCTGATGGAATCGCTATGCTCAACCCTTTCTGGATTGTTGAGAGCGGTACACAATTTCCGCGTTGTCATGGCATCGACGTTTGGGGAGGGTACACGGCGAAAAAGGGATATTAAATCGAGATGAATGGCCCATAACTCAATTGAAAAAGGATTCTAGGCAGCTTAGATTACCCCATAATAAGTTTGATTAGTGGTCGACACTAGTTGTAAACATAACAAACGTTTTAGTGCCAGCAACAACTACTCGTAACTCCATCAATCTATTCAGGAAGAACTTATTTCTATGCGACATATCCCCTTTTTTAAACAATTACATATAGTTCATTTAGTAGTGTACTTGCAACTGTCTCCCTCAATTGAATGGCTGCTAACTCGGCGACAATCTGCCTCAATCTGCGGCCATTCGTTTGCCTTCATCAGATGGAGTTGCCTGGCTGGCAATTGAATGGGAAAATGCTGTTTTGCTTTTGGCATTTTCCACAATCATTAAATGGTGCTCCGTCCGCTCATCGCTCCTCCTATGCTTCCACATAATTGCTACTTTGCATTATGCAACTGCTCGATTTAGGGCTCTTCATCGTTGAGATACCACCATGCGGTGTAGAACCTACCCCAAGGAAACGACTCGCCCGAGAAATTGGCTTCTTCAGTGCATACTTACCACCCGAAATCCGCACCCATTCACAGTCGCAGGCAACCGCTGGCCCCATTCATTTGGGCCAATTAGTCACGCTCGAAGATAAGATACCGAGTAATCACCTTATCGCCTGGCATTGCCCCAATGGGCCTGAGGTTCAACCTGCTTAGCAGACCAACCGCCTACCGCCAATCACCTACCCTTGCCACCTACACCTCCCACTTTTCGTGGGCTTTGCTGGCTTTCGAAACCTGAAGCGGAGCAGGTGCCTTTTATTGTGGATGACGGGGGAGTGGAGGGGCTCTTGTGAAAACTTAACCGGCAGTCTGGCTATTGAACGCACACAAAGAAAGAGGCCAGAGCAGCGGCAATGACATCATTTGGCAGTAATCGCGCGTACCTGACACAGCGAACTCGACAACAGTCAGCAAGAATCTAAAATGGCGGTCGGCTTTTAGTGAGTTTGGCTAAGTGAATGCTACTCACTACTTGCCGCACAACTTGGCTCAACACCTGCTGGCCATCCCCAGAAAATATACAAGAAGTACACACCAAAACACCGATTTGGCAACTTTTGTGGGCATCAATGTATCTAAAGATACTGTTAACCTATACATTATTTATAGTTTATTGGGTTTAACTGAAATATTGTGAAGGAAGATGTGTTAGATTTGCTAATAATATGAAGATACAAACTAGGTGCTAAATATTTTTGTGGCTTTGAGTAAGACGCAGTACTCTTACTATCTAAATCTTGCATGACTTTGAAAACAAATGGTCTTAGATAAAAATCACAAGAATAAAACGTAGTTTAACTGTGACTAGCACAGTTACTCCAAAGCATTTAATTAAATAAAGCCATTCCCAACAAGACAAGCAACTGTTTATGGCACCTTTTTCGACGAAGTCTTGTTCCGATTTACTGCAGTTATCTTATAGCCCCGAGACGAACTGTACCTCACTTGTGGAATTTTTCATTCGATTTATTCCGAGTTTTTCATTTCGTTTTCGTTACACTAAGCCAACTCAACGCTCGTCTCTCGCATTCCCCAACGTCCACAGCTTACCACTTTTATTCTAGCCACTACTGACTGAGCTTGGGCAAACCGGTTTGGTTTGCCTATAAATAAATAAATGTTTTCCACTTAATTGTTTGTGAAGCCTGTTGTATCAAACATTGCGTCTGACCGAGAATTTTGGTTTGCAGCTGTTTTAAAAGTTATTTAGGCAAAACACATTTATAGTGGTTGTTTATAGTTTGTGGTCCATGATTCGGCAAAGATGCAGCTGAGATTTATGGCGCTTGATACGCTTGGTTATTGCAGTATGCTGTATTTGCATCTTAAACAGATACTAAATTTCCCAAGCAGCTGTTTGGGAAACGAGGAGCGGTTAAGTGCTTTTCCGCTGACTAGCAGTCGGCACTGTTGTTATATTTTTTGTATTCTTTTTTATCCGGTGGCTGCATCATCTGCCGTTGGCCATAAAGAAAGTCGTCCGTTTGCTGGTTTGCCAGTTTGCCAGTTTGCTGGCTTGTTGGCATTGGCATGACAAATGCAGCGGGGCGCACACAAACACTCACTCTACGGGGCTGCAAATTGTGGATGGTTGGATAGAAAAATGAAGATGTACAGATTGGAACAGGCGCCCAGATACACGAAGCCAGACACTACAGCGATTGCGATGCCGATTCCGACTACCATTCCGAATCCCATTCCTTCTGCGGATGCCACTGGAGAAGCTCACAAGCTCGTGTCTTGTTTGTTCGACGATTACACATATTTGTATATTTTTCGACTCCTCTGTTGCTGTTGCTGTTGCAGTGGCAAAGGCACCGGCAGCCATTTGTATCCACTGGCAGAGAAAAAAAAGTCCATGACTTCAGGTTTCATTTAAAGCTAAATCAAGTTGGATATGCATGCAAATGACATCTAAATGTACCACAAAGCAAAGTCCTTTGCAGCGCAGGTGCCCATAAAGGATAGTTATTATCTGAAATCTTTGGAAGACTTGCAATGCTATTTTTCCCCGTGTATTTTGTATCTCCAGTGCGGCGTGAAATACTAAACGTAGTCGCAGTCTTCAGTTCCAGCTCTGCACATAATTGCCGCTGTCTGTCTGTCTCTCCGTTCGGTTTTCTGTGTTGTTGGCTGTTCTAGCTCAGCTGCTTTCGGCGGCTGTAGATGCGTCAGTTCAGATATATGTCCGTGCCGAAAAATGTATCTAGAACCCGTTTCGTCGCGATTGTACGGCGTTTTCTGGGCGCCTAGTCATTTGCAACATGCACACACCACTTGCCAACTGCGACTATACGGCCATGTGGATACATGGATATATGGCAGTATGTGCGTTGTGTGAGTGGGCCAGATACTTTTGGCTTTTCAGATTACACTTGCAGATACTGGGGCACATTAAAAAATTGCTGGCGGGCAACGAAGCGCACATTTCCATAGCCCCCACGCAGGTCATGGTTCAGTGCAGTTGCACTGTTACTGGACCCTGGATTCCATTTTCCGGATTCCGGAGCCATCAGGGTCTATTAGGTTTGCTTTTAGGCAGCGCAAATTGGTTTTCCGACCGGGCTTTTAACAATGGCAAATTGAATTGTTTTTGTTATAGCCATAGTATCTGCGCGTCCGAGATATGTAGTGGCCAGTGGCCGGTCCAGAAATCGAATTATGCACATGATGATGATGCAGCTCAAACAGCCAGCAACCAGCAACTTGTCTGCTCGCTGTGATGCAACCTCGGAACCTCAGTTGCGAACTGCTGGCTGTGTTTTGGCCTGGCTAAAAGCCAGCCACCTACCGCCTAGCACTTGCTGTGCGCCTGCTCCGACTAGATACAATAGTAAAAGTGTGCTGCCGAGTGAGTGAGTGAGTCTACCATATCTGTATCTATCTGTATGTGCGCTTGAGTGGCAGACAAACTGGTAGTACTCCATGGCTGCCACTCTGTACTCTGCACTCGTACTCATGGCTATATATGCCGGCCGGCAGACCGGCCGGTAATTTATGGCCAAGATACATACAACAAGCCCGAGTTGCAGCGTGGGCTTTTGTTGCTTGGTAGGTTGCTGCTTGATAGGTTGGTTGGGTGGCAAAAAAAAGTATCTTTTGTGACCAGCACTTGGCGAAAAGTTTACAATTCGCATTCATTTTTATTGTCGTCATGCCTTGTCCTCGTTTTTGTCTCTCGGCCATTCACCACCACCCCCTTTTTGGCCCCTTTTGTGGGCCATTTTCATATGCAAGTTACGTTTTTTTTTTTGTTGTTGTGTTTTTTTTTTGGCCTGCCGGACGGACTGCCTGTCTTCCTGCATTTTTTGCCCCTTTGTCGCTGACAGTTGCAACTTTTTGACGCATGATTTGTTGAAAGGCTTTTCGCTTTTTCTGCTTTTCTGTGCATAAATAGCAAACGGAATCTGGCCATTGTAGGTGGCCAAAAGCAATGCAGCTGACACTGATGGAGTCTAAGCCGCTTTGTCTTTAAAATAAAAGCCCCTTATTCATTGTTGCATCGCATGGTGGTTTCTCTGACATTGACTTTTCCATGTAATCATGCTGAGTGTAATACCTTAAGTGTTTTATGGTATAATTAAAATTAACTATTAAAATTAACTATTACCAATTAGTTAAAAATAGTTAAGATATCTTTCAACCATGACAACCCTGTATGTCAGACGTTCTGGTACAAATTAAAAAGTTATGGTTCCATAAATCATTGTGTTGTGCCTTAATCAAAATGGATTTATAGGTTGCCGTTCCCAAAATTCCTTTCGATTTGTATGACCGTTAGTGTCCAAAGCTGGTGTTTCTCGGCTGAGGTGCGGAATTCGCTTGTTCGGTGCCCCAAAAAAACTGGGTCAACAACTCCAGCACATGGTCAGCACACCACCAGCACTTCTATTGTCATGTGGGGCAAACAAAGAACGCAACAAAAAATTAGAAAAAAAAAAGGAAAATAGAAAGAATTTAATAAACTTTACGGCCAGAACTACGAATTATTTTCATTATTCTGGTGGCGACTGCTCTTTGGGGGTCGGCACAAAGTAAACTCAAGTAAAGAACCCAGCAACAATGGCCGATAAAATCGCGCTGGCAGAACAAAAGCAGCGGCTGTTAACCTTGAGGTCTATGACTCAGTGAGTCAGTAGGGGGCGCAACTTTCTTTCCAGAGATGAGTACTACTCCACATTGCAGGAAGGTCAGGGTATGGGTATTTTGGTTTGGGTTTTATATTGGATACTGGGCTTCCCTTCACTTTGGAAAGTTTGCGAGTGGAGTGCCAACATAATTTATTTCGAAATTCGAATCGAAGTCGTGATTTTCATAAATGAATTGTTGGCGACATGTCTTCTGTCTGTCTGGATAGCTGGTCGGGTCGAAAGGAAAGCTGGCCAAAATGGATGATTCTAATGGTAAACTGACTGTTTGGACGACGGGTCACGGCACTAACAAATGACAACCCCTTAAAGATTTATGACCACGAAAACGAACTAACTGAGTTGCAATCCATTTGCCTTTGTTCGCAAAAGGCTCCCGAGTACGAGTCGTGCTGAGGTCTAAATCTTGTTTTTTCTCTTCTTCTCCGTGCTTGCAGAATTTCTTCAGATTGCATCGCCTGAGAAAGCTGGGACTGAGTGACAATGAAATTGGCCGCCTGCCGCCGGATATACAAAACTTTGAAAATCTCGTCGAGCTCGACGTTTCACGCAATGGTAAGTCCAAGTATCCGCCTTCAAAAACGATGAAAATCTGCCCCATAAACATGCAACAAGTGCCCATGATGCTCTAAATGACATTGATGGACTATAGATTTGGAAAATGTAGATTTCGTTTTTTGGTCAGATGGACAGCACGTGTCCGTTGATTGCAGTGATTGAATGATTGAGTGACGGATAGGGGGAGCCATATACCCATATACCCATCGAGTGCCACATGCGATACCACTGATGTGGCAACAATTGCATATGATAATAATTGCATCCGTGTCACTGATTGGAATGGGTTTTTATCTGCGGTTGGGGTTGATGAGCCTGCAACTGAATCACATTAAATGACGCATTCAGCTTTCCCTCATGTTGTGGGCAGATCAACCTAATTATGAAAAATGTGGAGCTGTTAACCGATGGGTTTTTTTTATTATAGCTCTTCCTGCAAACTAATTATAAAGTGTGCTAGATAGATTTAATCAAACGGAAAAGCAAAACATAAAAGGCGGCATAACATATTAAGCAATGATAATTAAAAACATAAATGCGTCGAATTCAAGATCAAACACTTACAGATTGAGTTAAACATTAAGTTATTAAATCAAATCAAATTAAATAGTGAAAAGACTTGCCCATTTATTCGAAAAAATCCCCGAACTTTTCAATTGCCCAACACCTTCTACAGTCATTTATTACAGTCATTTTGTTCCCGTTTTTCAATTTAAGTGCTCTTCCTGTTCTTTTATCTTGTTAAATTGCTCTGTGTTACAGACTTCCAGCGACTTTAAACTCAATTTAAGTGCAAACAATTGCATTGCCTTATCTCTGTTGGCCCATGCAACATCCGTATTGCCGCTGCTCTTTCCATGTTTTCCTACAAGTTCTTCCTCAAACAAAGAAGATGCAGCTGGGATTTTTAATAACTTTGCCCGGGCAAAACTTTTGCCACGAAGATGCGGATATAAACGCGCACCACCCGCAGAACCACCGACTCAATCAGCGGCGTAACCCCACATACTCGTATATGCATTTTCCGCTCAAGCGAGCATAAATCCGTAAACAGAAACCCGTAATTGGAGTCAAGTGCAGCTCTTGAAGCGACGCGACGCATACGCATTATAATAAATGGAAACCAAAAAATATAAATATATATGTATTGAGAAAATAACTTGAATAAGTAAATCAACTGCAAGGCAGGCCACCCCGCTTTTCCAACTCAAAATCCCCTCCACTTGACAATATCCATGGCAACGCAACTGCTTACGAATACCGAACGAATCATTCTCATTCATTCACAGCCCCTGAAATAACATTATAGACAATGACGTCGACGGGGCGCTTCCCATTTCCGTCCAAGGGTTTCAGTTTCACTTGATCGCAAAACGAAATTCAGCAACTTTTCGAGGCTATCGCATTAATGCACAGAGAAAAACTATGCAAAAGTACTTACATTTCCTTATTAAATTAAATTGAAAGACATCTTTTCATATTATATTAAATTATACCTTTGTTATTATATATCCAATGAATATGCAGTTGAATGAATACACCTCTTACTTGTAGTATTAAAGTGAATTTTCTGTGCACTTGGCCAGGTTGACTGCACTCGTTACCTGAATATTCGCTGATTTCAATATGCTCTGGCGGGTCGTGTTTGGTTTACTACTTTTAGCTTGTTGTTTTGCTGATTATGCAGTTTAGTGCTGGCAGTTTGTCGTTTATACACATGACCCACAAATGACCACAAACTTATGGCCCAGTGCCTGGCCTGGCTCTACCAAGTGAATGGATTGGATACGAAGTGGTTCCAGTTTGGCATTGCTGTTGAAATCTGAGCTGGATTTTCCTGGCTCTGGGTGAAAGGCCGCCCACGTTAGGATCGGTTGAGATTATCCGCCAGGCAGGAATGATTCGGTGATTAATGGTCGTTAAAGAGCGATAAGTCGATCAGCGAAATATTAAATAGTCCTATTCAGTGAGCATCATGCTTTCTATTTGCCAAGCGAGAATGTGGCTTTTGTGTGTGGGTGTGTGGGTGGCGACTCCCTCGGGAAAAGCCTTTCACATTCAATTCCTTCGGCGTTTAAGTGCACATTTTATTGAACCCCTTGAGCAAAGGCTGCGCCACAGGTGCTGTAAAAGTTTGCGTACCTTTCTATGTAATTTCCCATGCACATTTTATTATGGCCAACCGCAGCAAAATTGTATTTCTCAGGTTCGTGTGGGAGTTGCACTTCGTTTTTTTTTTTTACAGCATTTTCCATTTTCATGTAGCACTTTTTCTAAGTTGGCTCAAATTAGCCAGCTCGATTTTGTATGCGACGGCTTTGCCAGCTGCAGTTTGCCACAACAATGGACGTTCTGGCCGCAAATTTTGCAAGTGCAACAGCAACACCAACAATAACAATAACAATGACAACAGCAACAACAAAAGCAGCTGCCACAACAAACAGCCAAACACTCGAGACCAACTGCACTTGACAATACAATTTTGTACGCGACACTGGCGCGGTGCATTTTGTATGCAAGCGACGGCAATAATAACAATTCTAATAAAAACACAAATTCCCCTGGCTCTAGTAGATTTCTGTGGGTGTACTTGTGTTTGCGTTTGCGTTTGTGGGTGCGTTTCTATGGACACAGCTGAGCGCAGAACAATAGCATCCGCTATCCGCAGTGGCAGAATAAACAAAACATGACTTAGTCAAAAACATACATTCGCGTATCTTAAAATATATCTTTAAAGGACTGAAAACATAAAACCAAATTAATTTTCCGTTTATAATAGCTGTCTGAAACAATCAAATTAATACCAACTGTAAAATTTTAAATTGTTGTATAAACCTATTCACCCACTGTAAATTAAGATTAATTGAATCATTTTAATTGATCAGCTGGACAGGTGTTGCTATAAGTTCGCCCGCCACTGTGCACTCAAGTACAGGTGTCATTGTTGGTAGTCGCTAGTTTTGCACGTAAATCATTATGACGAGTTGACCCGCTTACGAAAGGTAAGCTAAAAGGGCTCAGTCGACGCCGCGGCCTGCTGATATACTATTTTTCATATTTTTTTTTGTAACAACCTGCTAATTGTTTGTTTATTTGCTTATTGCGTTTTCTATTTCGATGCCATACGAGTATATCAGCCATATATTTTCGCTGTTCGCTTGCATTGCAGTTTTTCCGTTTATGGAGAGCTGCTTTCATGCCGTGTTTTGTTTATTAAGTAACCAAAATTCATGTTTTCTCAGTGCCCCCAAATGCGGTGCAGTTGCCAAGCTGGGTTTATCTGTGTGATTTCGTTATTTTTGGTTGCCAGCGAAAATAACAAACAATAGAATTGTGAGAATTTGTCGCTGGACTCTAATTTTTGCAATGGAATGTCGCCGCGATTGGATTCGGTTTGTTGAGGCATACAAATGGCAGTGTATTGCAGGGTCTGCTAAAATATAAAATTGGATTTTACCCGATTTACCCAGCTGGAATTTCACTCAAACATTTGCTTTCTAGTTGGTTATTAGAGTGGAAGTACAGACTTTTACTCCCTGCTTTTTAATCAGCTTGTGCTGTCAGCTTTTTTAGCTGATTTTCCCTGTGGGAAACACTATTTGCCCAAAGCTGATTGGAAACCATTGTCGGAATGCCCGAAAGCCGAGCGCCCCAAACTCAAACTCAAACACAAACTCAATTAAATGCCATTTGAAAGTCATGCCCTTAGGCCCTGTATGACACTTGTTTCCCCCTTTCTTGCATTTCTGTGACAAAATGTGTGTCATCTTTCCTGCTCTTGCTCTTTCTTTCCCTACATGTTGCAATTGGGGCGTCAACTGGGTCAAAGTTAAAGTGCGCGCGCAAAACAGAAAAAAAATAAATATATACAAAAAAAATAAAAAAACAAATCGCGGCGCCTCTGTTCGAGTGGCGTGCTCATTTCGTTGTTCTTGGAGACGGCGGAGCTTGGGGCCCAGGTTCCAAGTGCAGTCACTTTCACACACAGTTTGGGCACAAGTAGGAGAGAAATAAGCCGAAGACGACCCTGGGCAAGGCATCAAAAGAACGTGGTGCACTTGAAGAAAACCTACTCAGAGGTTGAGAAATATACTTCTAACATATACTTAAGAAATTTGAGATTACCTGGCATATCAGCATAAAATGTAAAAAATCATTTTTAAATTTATATTTTCGATTATAGACTACAACCTTCATTTATTACATAATTACTTGTTTTAAATGTTTAAGTATCTTTTCACCTAAGGGCATCTTTTTAGAAAACTTTTCTGCCAGTGTAAGCTGAAAGAATTAGCAATGGCAAGCGAAGGAGGAGGAGGGGTAGGGAGGAGGAGGAGGAAGAATCGGGGGCAGCGCGAACAAAGGCAAAAATCAAAGCTTTGTCGCGGTCTTGGACGAGCAGCAGGCCATTAGAGTCCATGACTTTGTAGGAAGTTCGCCAAACAGCGATTGTTGGCCCAAAGTCAAAGCGAGCCGAGAGCAACCGCCAAGTGATGGGAACATTTCAATGTACTCTAAACAAACAAACAAATTGAAGAGTGCCGGACTGACGGACCGTCAGTTGGAGGAGGTGGAATTGTATAATTAATAGCATTAAACAAAAACTAAATCAAAATGTCAGAGGGGAAAAATCAGCGCAAATTGAAAAATCATTTCTTCTCACGTCGGCCCATTTTATTCAATACTGTTGATTTGCTGCCCTCTGCTCCATCCAGTTCCCATTCCATTTATTTCGATCGTGTCGGTCTCTGGAGCCCATTGACGTCACGAGGGGATGAGCAATTAAAAACTACTCGGCCAGCAGGCGGCCATCCGACGAGCTTGTACAAACAACAAATCAAAAGTGAATCCCTCGACTTGGCAACAGCGATCGGCCAACGAAATTGAGTTGGCGAAAAGTATAAAACAACAAACATAAATGTGGCAAACAAATCTGTTTACATTTCTTTATGCTGTAAAAATGTTCGATTTCAGGCAATGCATTCATTCAGTCAATGCATTCATGTTTGTCACACAAATTAAGCGTATGTATAGTTCAAAGTATTAAAAAGTGAAGAACATTATCATGTTAATGGGTTAATAATTATGCAGGAATGTTTGTGAAACCAATAACGCTTATCTAGAGTAGTTTAACAAATGAGATTTCAATCGGTTAAGTGCACGGATTAATTGACAATTAGTAAACAGATAATCCCCCTCATAATTATGTTGCAAAATGCACTTACGTTTGCCAAGCATAAACAAAAAAAGGTTATTTCTACTAGTTTAACAGCTAATTGCAGGGATTAAGCTGGCAATTAGTTAATTGAAATTATATTCACTGAGTGGCGCAGGTGGCCAAAGGTTATGGTTGGATTCTGATTAAATTGGGAGCCGCGGAAAATTGATTACCAAATGACTTGGTGCTTGGTAAACCCACGCAGGCTCAAAATGTCAATTGCAGATGTGCTCAATCTGTGGAGTGAATGTTTTCGGGCGGACGCATCTGTGTTCATCTTGTCAGAGGCTTTTCCTAAACTTGTTGCCTGCCTAACGAGCGTAAAACAGTCATTAAATCCACCCAGCCACCCACTCAGTTAAAATGCCTGAGGCTCTTCGTTTGCTTGCTAATTGAATCTGAATTAAAAGCCATAGTCAAATACACTTCATATGCGCTCGTTAATTCCGTTTTTAATGCACTTTAAAAGCACCTGTTGCGCTTTAAAATCGCTGCTGCCTTCTCCCATCATCTTCATCATCATTATAGTCGCATCTTTTGCCACAATTAAGAGTCATTTACTTATCACAATCTGAACAGCACAACCCCATCCATCTCCTGCCGTTTCATCTCATCTCATCTCATCTCATCTGATCCGAGCTCAGTGCAGTTCAGCTCCTGCAGTCGATGTGGCAATCATCCCGGGGTGCCTTCAGTGATGCAACTGCAGATTACTTGGGTTTAGCTAGATAAGGCTTTTCAGCAAATCTAATGGATGCAAGCTGAAAAAAAGCGTGTATTTATTGTAACAATGATATATTGCTTAATACAGTTACTGATAATAGGAAGTTTATAAACTGAATTACTGATATTGCTGAGCATTTGTAAACCAGTTGAACTTGCAGGAAGATGCGAGTTGTATTATTTTAGATGCAATCATTTAAATCAGACACCTTTAACTAGACACTTGGGACTATAAAATAGCTGAAATGGCTGCACAGAAGGGGCGATGGCTTTACCCCTGACTCTGCCACCAAAGACGACGCTCAGGTTGAACGAGAATTGCGGTGGCGGAAAGCCATTTTCCCTGTTGACGCTTAGGGATTTGCTCTCAACAATGGCAGCCATAAAATTGCAGGCAAGTCGGGATGACGGGATGGCTATGGCGATGGCAATGGCGGTAGCGATGGCGGTGACAACAAGGACTTGGCTTGGCATGGCGCCCCAACTAACAGGTCCTGGAGAGGGAACCTTTTCATCATTTTGGATGCATGCAATAAGCGAAATGGCAACGTGCCATGGCAACTCATAACAGATGCCTAGTGCTGGGGATTAAAACGTAACAGAGCCATTGAATCGGGATTCTACTTTTTTTTCCTCCAATGATGCAAGGCAAATTGAAAGGCCCTGGATGGAGGTTTTTCTTCTTATTTCTCCCTTTGCGTTGCTCGTTCCCTTCTAGAGCTTCTGAAATATGCATCCTCGACATCATCTTCATTAAGTGCTGCTCGCATTGAGGAAGATGTATGGCGATGACCTCGATAGCAACACCTCCCACTTTTCTGTCTGGGTCGCCTTGATATACTGACAAATCATTTCACATTTCAGATTCACATTTAACACGGCGTGCTCTTAAAATTTTTGCTCGTTCAATGACATTGAAACGTATTTTCATATGTGTATTTTTTTTTTGGCCCTCCCCGATTTGCGATGCCGTCGTTGTTTGCTGACGTTTCGCATGGCTTGTTTTATTTTTGATGCCTTTATTTTGGTGATTTTTCCTTTTTCTTTTTGTTATATATATATGTATGTTCCTGGCACAGTTCTTCTTCATTGATCTTGTCTGGTTTGTTGAAATTTATAAGCGCTTTAAAATGCAAAAATCGCTACCGCATTGTTCCCGACTGTTTCCCGGCTATTTTTGGAGCGCTCTCACTTCATAACGATAAAATATGATAAACAAATTAAATACATTTTGGGGCCATTTTCCGTTTCTTTGTAGGGCGCCGCGCCTTTATTGCATAATTGCACAAATTGATTACAATTCCGGACGCTATTTTCCAACTGTGCCGGCACACCCAGCATTTCCTCTAATTTCCCGTCTCCAAATGAGTTTCCAAATGTAGGGCCCAAGTGTCCCAATTCTATTTCAATGTTTTTTTTTTATTTTTTCCAACCTTTGTGTGTTGGTGTGTGTTAAAGGTCAACGAATTGTTTGTCACCGCCGTTGATCTAATGACCGCCAACTGTGCGGCACAGCTGAGCATCTTGTGCCGTTTTGTGCGGCAGCCATATGTTTCCAATTGCGCTGCGCCTCCGTGTGGATGTGGATTTTCCTGGGTTCGGAGATGGGCGAGGTAGGAAAAGCGCCTTGGTGCGTCCATTTGTCTGCAACTGGCGGGATCCAATTTTGAGTGTTTTGCTTGACGGATTGACGGATGTGTGTGGCTGCTGCCGTTTTTGCTGTGCCAAAAGGTTTTAGGCCTTCGAAAGAGCACGAGCAGATTGCCAAGGATCGTGGTGCAAAACTGCATATATGGTGGAACTTCAATAACTGGGACACTATTGAAAATGGATATTGGCCCTACATCTAAAAAATTCTTTGTCCTCCATTTCCAATCAATTTGATTTAAAAAAGAATTTGCGCAAACAAATATATAAAGCCAAAACACAACGCTTTTCCACACAGCAGATGGTGTTTCAAGTTGTCCAACTGTGGTATCTATAATTGGCCAGCACATTCAAGGCCATGAACAAGGCCTGCTGCCACTGCACACAATGCAGCACAATGTCGGGCTGCAAAAACATAAAGATAAATGTCGGTTTATATTTTTATATAATTTTTAATTAAAGACTGCCGCAGCAGCAGCTCTTGCTCGTGCTGCAGCAATGTGGCTGTGTGGATATGTGGCAATATGGCAGTATGGCAATGGGGCAAGTAGCAATGCAGTTGCAAATAAATAGCTTATCGGCAACCTGCCACAACTGGTGACATTCCCAGTAAAATGGGGGTCTATGCCTGGCCACATCCGCCGATTGCCACGAGGCCACAGCCTCGCTTCTCCTCCCATTGTGTGGCCCACACAACTCGAGCATGTCCTGCCTGCAGGACACCGGCACACATTTCCCCCCTCATTTCCGTCATGTTGTTGTGTTGGCCTGTCGCAGCGAGTTCGCGTTGCGGGTCGGTCCCACGTGTCGTATTAGTTGGATTGAATGTGGACACATGGGGCAAGTCAGCCCGCGTTGACCGATGACGATGTTTCGTTTGGTTTCGTTTCTGTTTCGTTCTGTTTCGTTCTTTTCTTCTGGCTTTTCCGGTGGTGTACAAGTGTTTTCCCTCCATGTATCTGGGTCAATTTAAACAGTGGTGAAAAGGCTTGAGGCCATCCCATACCTACTGCCACCTGTCGTTTTGCTTTTGCTGCCAGTTTTGTGGGTTGTATACGAGGTTCTCGTGGAAAAGCTTTTGTGGGCGTGCTGGTAAACAGCGCACACATACATGTTTACCTCCTGTTTTCCCATTTCCCGGGTCCTTTGCGTGCGCATTTCCGCTTTGGCAGCTCGAAAAATTTATTCGATCAACAAGTTTCGTTTGTCATTTTACGCTTCGTCTCGCTCTATCAGCGCGCGGCCAAACAATAATAACGAAATCCATGGCCAAAAGAGGTTGAAACTCCGCTCTGTATATGTACATACTCGTATATGCAAAACTTAATAGTTTTTCCCAACAAAAATTTCCAGACTGCCAAATGAAAATCGTGCGCTTTAAGAGTTGAAAACTGAATTGATAGACAGTGACAAGGCCATATGCGGAAATCTCTCGCTCAGTGGGTCCCATGGAATATTTATAGCAAATTTATTAATATATTAACGCGGCCCTTTGGAGCAATTCATGCGTGAGCAAGTCAATCAGCCGAGCAGATAGAAATGTGTAACCCGATAACCAACGAGCTTGGCTTTGGCTTTGGCTCATTGAAAAGCCATAACAGCAATCAGTAAACAATATGTTTTCCCTTCTTCCCTTTTTTTCCAGATATACCCGACATTCCCGACGATATCAAGCATCTGCAGAGCCTGCAGGTGGCCGATTTCAGTTCGAACCCGATACCCAAGTTGCCCTCGGGCTTCTCCCAGCTGAAGAACCTGACCGTCCTGGGCCTCAACGACATGTCGCTCACCACATTGCCAGCGGATTTTGGCAGCCTGACTCAATTGGAATCCCTGGAGCTTCGCGAGAATCTGCTCAAGCACCTGCCCGAGACAATAAGCCAGCTGACGAAGCTGAAGCGTCTGGATCTGGGCGACAACGAAATCGAGGATCTACCACCCTATCTGGGATATCTGCCGGGTCTGCACGAGCTTTGGCTGGATCACAATCAGCTGCAGCGTTTGCCGCCGGAGCTGGGACTTCTAACCAAACTGACCTACCTCGATGTCTCCGAAAATCGACTGGAGGAGCTGCCCAACGAGATCAGCGGACTGGTCAGCCTGACGGACCTCGATCTGGCCCAGAATCTGCTCGAGGCCCTGCCCGATGGCATTGCCAAGTTGAGCAGACTGACCATTTTGAAATTGGATCAGAATCGATTGCAGCGGTTGAACGATACTCTCGGAAAGTAAGTAATATAGTTTGATTTAAAATATAGTAAAAGCCAAATTAAATCGTGTAATTAGAACCTTTTGGAATACAAAGTCTACACAGTTCGGTTTTGCAGTTCATAACGTTTGGTTATCTTATCGTGGTTATACCACAATATTTGCCAGGTCCAAACAAAATACTTGTTATACCCGTTACTCTAGAGTAGTATACAGTATTTAAAATATATACATTCTTGATCAGACATTCAAAAAAAATTACGAAATGTCTCTAGGCTGAAATTCTAAACACCACAACTCAACTTATCTTAATCGGATTTTGAAGTGGGATACCTCTAAATGTTTCTGGAGCAATTCTCTAAAAAACTGCATTCAAATTTAGAATTTTATTTTTTTTTAATTTTTTTGTAAATTTTCTGATGTTATGATGTTGTGGAAATTCAATAATGTCCCAAGGCCGAAGTTCTAAAGTCCATAACTCAACTAATCTTAATCGGAATTTGAAGTGGCATACCTCTAAATTTTTCTGGTACAATTCTCTAAAAACCTGCATTCAAATTTAGAATTTTATTTTTTTTTAATTTTTTTGTAAATTTTCTGATGTTATGATGTTGTGGAAATTCAATAATGTCCCAAGGCCGAAGTTCTAAAGTCCATAACTCAACTAATCTTAATCGGAATTTGAAGTGGCATACCTCTAAATTTTTCTGGTGCAATTCTCTAAAAACCTGCATTCAAATTTAGAATTTTATTTTTTTTTTAAATTTTTTTGTAAATTTTCTGATGTTATGATGTTGTGGAAGTTCAATAATGTCCCCAGGCTGAAGTTCTAAAGTCCATAACTCAACTAATCTTAATCGGAATTTGAAGTGGGATACCTCTAAATGTTTCTGGAGCAATTCTCTAAAGAACTGCATTCAAATTTAGAATTTTATTTTTTTTTAATTTTTTTGTAAATTTTCTGATGTTATGATGTTGTGGAAATTCAATAATGTCCCAAGGCCGAAGTTCTAAAGTCCATAACTCAACTAATCTTAATCGGAATTTGAAGTGGCATACCTCTAAATTTTTCTGGTGCAATTCTCTAAAAACCTGCATTCAAATTTAGAATTTTATTTTTTTTTTAATTTTTTTGTAAATTTTCTGATGCGATGATGTTGTGGAAATTCCATAATGTCCCCAGGCTGAAGTTCTAAAGTCCATAACTCAACTAATCTTAATCGGAATTTGAAGTGGGATACCTCTAAATGTTTCTGGAGCAATTTTCTAAAAAACTGCATTCAAATTTAGAGTTTTATTTTTTTTTAATTTTTTTTGTAAATTTTCTGATGTTATGATGTTGTGGAAGTTCAATAATGTCCCCAGGCTGAAGTTCTAAAGTCCATAACTCAACTAATCTTAATCGGAATTTGAAGTGGGATACCTCTAAATGTTTCTGGAGCAATTCTCTAAAGAACTGCATTCAAATTTAGAATTTTATTTTTTTTTAATTTTTTTGTAAATTTTCTGATGTTATGATGTTGTGGAAATTCAATAATGTCCCAAGGCCGAAGTTCTAAAGTCCATAACTCAACTAATCTTAATCGGAATTTGAAGTGGCATACCTCTAAATTTTTCTGGTGCAATTCTCTAAAAACCTGCATTCAAATTTAGAATTTTATTTTTTTTTTAAATTTTTTTGTAAATTTTCTGATGCGATGATGTTGTGGAAATTCAATAATGTCCCCAGGCTGAAGTTCTAAAGTCCATAACTCAACTAATCTTAATCGGAATTTGAAGTGGCATACCTCTAAATTTTTCTGGTGCAATTCTCTAAAAACCTGCATTCAAATTTAGAATTTTATTTTTTTTTAAATTTTTTTGTAAATTTTCTGATGTTATGATGTTGTGGACATTATGTTCAATAATGTCCCCAGGCTGAAGTTCTAAAGTCCATAACTCAACTAATCTTAATCGGAATTTGAAGTGGGATACCTCTAAATGTTTCTGGAGCAATTTTCTAAAAAACTGCATTCAAATTTAGAATTTTATTTTTTTTTTAATTTTGTTGTAATTTTTCTGATGTTATGATGTTGTGGAAATTCAATAATGTCCCAAGGCCGAAGTTCTAAAGTCCATAACACAGCTAATCTTAATCGGATTTTAAAGTGGGATACCTCTAAATGTTTCTGGAGCAATTCTCTAAAAAACTGCATTCAAATTTAGAATTTTATTTTTTTTTTAATTTTTTGTAAATTTTCTGATGTTATGATGTTGTGGAAATTCAATAATGTCCCAAGGCCGAAGTTCTAAAGTCCATAACTCAACTAATCTTAATCGGAATTTGAAGTGGCATACCTCTAAATTTTTCTGGTGCAATTCTCTAAAAACCTGCATTCAAATTTAGAATTTTATTTTTTTAAAATTTTTTTGTAAATTTTCTGATGTTATGATGTTGTGGAAGTTCAATAATGTCCCCAGGCTGAAGTTCTAAAGTCCATAACTCAACTAATCTTAATCGGAATTTTTCTGGTGCAATTCTCTAAAAATCTGCATTCAAATTTAGAAATATATATTTTTTTAATTTTATTCTAATTTTTCTGATGTATGTATGATGTAGAAATTCAAAAAAATTAAGAAATGTCCTAAACTAATATCTAAAATTCATTATTTAAATTTAAAGATGTATCTAAACTATCTTATTAATTTTATATTTCTTACTACAGTTGCGAAAACATGCAGGAGCTGATACTCACCGAGAACTTTCTCTCCGAGCTGCCCGCCTCCATTGGCCAGATGACCAAGTTAAGCAATCTGAACGTGGATCGCAATGCCCTGGAGTACCTGCCCCTGGAGATTGGTCAGTGTGCCAATCTGGGCGTGCTGAGTCTGCGGGACAACAAGCTGAAGAGGCTGCCACCGGAGTTGGGCAACTGCACCGTGCTGCATGTGCTCGATGTGAGCGGTAATCAGTTGCTGTATCTGCCCTACTCGCTGGTCAATCTGCAGCTGAAGGCCGTCTGGCTGTCCGAGAATCAGTCACAGCCGCTGCTCACCTTTCAGCCGGACACGGATGTGGAGACGGGCGAACAGGTGTTGTCGTGCTATCTGCTGCCCCAGCAGGAATACCAGCCAATTACCCCAGGTGAGTTTGGATGAGTCAGAACAGAGCTGTATAATTTGCCCCGTGGCTTAACCCACCCAGTGGTTAAAGGTTGCTCCACATTTGGCGCTGTCTGCTCGCGGTGGGCCAAATTTGGCCAAGTTATGCGCCTTTATCAGCACCTGACATAGATTCCACATTGCCCCAGCCCCCGTATCGTTGTGCAATATCTTCCATCTATGCTCGCATTTCCGCGATAAGATAAACCGCGCAAAGTGAGCAAACATCGCCAACAAACGAGCGCTATCCAACCTTTGTGCGTTGTATACCTTTCCCAATCTTATTGGGTGAACCAAAAAATATATACAAAACTTTCGGCAAATCTTTAAAAATTACAACTCAGTGTTATACTCCCAGCAAGTTTTCACCTATATTTGTGACTAAATTTATCTTCTAACCGTGCTTCAGCAAGAGCACTTTTTCCATAATTCTGTTCTATACTGATTTCGATTATTTTCTTTGCATTCCGCCACGTCACGCGCTCCTTCCACCATTTGCACTCCACTCCACTCACCCTAAACCTCTATTTTATGTTCATCCAATCCAATCAAAGACTATCCACCCATGACGCTTTATAGATCAAGCGAAAAATTTGATTCGACGGAATTCTTCAGTTATCAGCAAAAAGGTTTGCGTTGAGTATTACCTTCTTTGTCAGTATCAATAAAAAATACACGCTATATCTGCCTTGTACAGTTAACAAGTCCATATAGTAGAGTTACTAGTTTTGGTTTATTGAACTAGTTACGTTAGAAATGATGTTTAAATTCAATTGCTATCAGTTTAAACTCTACTATATTGGCTCACTTCATACTTGAAGCATGACCGCTCAGCATTTGCATGCCCGCTTTGTTTTGAATGTGAATTTTAGAACTTGTACTTGAATGCTTTCTGATTACGAATGTTTTGCATAGAGAGTTACCTAGTTCCGCATAACAAACCAAATAATTCCTAGAATGAAGGCAATGATCTAATAGCATACCACACCTAAACAATCTTTCTAACAATCCATTCCGGTTGACATTTTAACCACCATAACCCTGTTAACTTGCGTTCTTTATAGATGCTAGCATCGCAGCTCCCCAATACTTTTGGTTTTGGAAACGCATCTTGGTCTGGCCAAAAGCCAGTCAGCATTGACAATGCCTGTGTTGAGTGTTTGAAACAAAAACACTAACCGGTTTTCTCCAACGCCCGAAAATGACGTCATGACAGCAAGTTGTTTTGGTTTTTGTTTTTCTTATAAGTTGGGTGTCTCAGGACCGGGCGTTGGCTGGAAAACTTGAATATATGTTTTCTGAGAATACTCTCACACACGCAACGTATCGCGATGGATGATAAAAGTGTGTTCGATTTGGCTTGTTTGATTTGATTATGTTATTATTTTGTGTTTATATTCCATTCATTTGACGGCCCATGCGTGTTTCCCATCGCCGATCGGTGCCGTTTTTTGCCGCTGGTTCCCACACCCTGAAAAAAACCACTTGCACTGGGGAATGGCGAGCGATTGGGATCTATTTTGCCCCCGAATTGAGCAGTCTTAGCTGCCCTCCAGTGGCAGCATGCCAGATCAAAGGGGCCAAATAGACGATTTGTTTGTTTTTGGCAGCTAGTACCGAGATCCATTACGGTTTCATCTGCCGACCCATCCATATTCTTCCCAGGCACATCCAGAGTATAAGGCCCTGCCATTTGTGGCACTTGAGTGATGTCAACGGTTGTGACGTCATATGGCCAAGGAGTGGCAGCGGCCCGCTTTTCAAAAAACTGGGGCAAGATCGCCGAGCAATGTAATTATGTGTATGACGCTGCGTTGGTTAATAATATTAATCGCACGGCTTGTTTCGAAGTGGTACGTGTGTGTATGCCACCAAAACTAACTGTTGATTAATGGCCTGTCACAGGGGCTACAGTAGGACCTGGCTGGCTTGAATTCTTGATTTAAAACAAAAAGCCGTTTAAATTCCTTATCACTGCCAGTAAACTCCTTGTAACATTATATATGTGATTTAAAACTCTGAGCTTATATGGATCAAAATGCCATTAAATTGGTTACATTAATGCCTGTAGATATGTAAATTAGCTAGCCTAGAGCTCAATTCGCTTATCGCCAGTCTTCACTGTGACATTCACTGATTGAGTGCCCCATGATTCAACCTGTATTTGTTGTTACCAATGTTGCTATTGTGGTTTCGGTTCTGTGGCGTAGTTGCTTCCCAATCGAAATGAATGTATAAGTAGATATTGTAACTGTTATTTGGCTTCGAAACGAGTTTTGGCCTATGCGATTGCCTATAAATAGCGTATATCATCAGCATATTTGGAGAACAACTTGTCTGGTAACTTCGCAACCGATCAAGCGATCAATGGTCAATGACGGATTAAGTGGACACACAAATAACACACATAACTCAACCAATTTGGATGAATGTGTGAATAGTTTCAAGATCACGTCGCCATTATTGTTTTTCCCGCACATCTTAGAGCCATGTAAGCTAGCTCAAATTATCCAATTAAAGTCATGGGACCGAGAAAAACAAGAGGAAATAATTTTAAATGCGAAGCACCAGACACGAAATGGCCTCTTATTATTGTCATTGCCATTACAAGTCGTCTTCTATTTGCATAAATCTTCATCTTGGCGCTTACTTAACTCAGACTCCCCACTGGGGGCCACTGAATTTGTTTGCCTATGCTAAAATCGGTAACGATTGTAAGTTACGACTGCGCCGGACATTCAGCAATTGTGGCTGTGGATGGATGCAGCTACTTGGACTCAGTCAGTGGCACTTCCTGCCTCGAAAAAGCGGTGATTTGCATTTGTTTATTGCCGCAACAGCCACCCATCCCCTGCACTTGCTGCGTAGATAGATTGATTGGCCGTCAGTGGCTTTGGCTGGGGGTTTTGGAATCCGTGATTCTCGGGGGGTGGGAAAGGTACTGATTGCCTGCTTGCCCCCACATGTTGCAACTTTTATGTTGTTTACCCGTGATTGTGGTGTGAAAAATTTACGGCGCGCACACTTCTCATAAGCGCTTGATGGATTAGCCAGTGGACTCGGTTGGTCCAGCAGACCTGGCCAGCAGAATCTGGCCAAAATGTTTACGCTGCGGCGTCCAAAAATAGTGGTTTGCCAGCTCGTACTTTTAATGGGTGGTTTATTTATTGATTTGTGCAAAACCAAAAGCGTAGACCATTAAGCGTTTTGAATATAAGTCCGTTTGTATATAATAAATATCGTTGTATACATATAATTCATATATATTATACGTACATAAATGTATATCCCAACTACGTATTAAAAGTGTGTGCATGGGCATGCAGTTCACTAATCCAAAGCCATTTTGAACCCCACAAAACACCTTGTTGCACTGTTGATTTATATGCTAATGGAATTCGTTTGATTTGCCCCTGAAACAGCCCGTGACCTGGAATCCGATTCGGAGCCGTTCGAGGAGCGCGAACCATCGCGCACCGTGGTCAAGTTCTCGGAGGAGGCCACCCAAGAGAAGGACACGCCCTTCGTGCGCCAGAACACGCCGCATCCCAAGGATCTCAAGGCCAAGGCGCAGAAGCTGAAGGTGGAGCGCAGTCGGAACGAGGAGCACGCCAATCTGGTCACCCTTCCGGAGGAGGTGAGTTCTGGTCCTAAATACGATCCGAATGCTAAGCTTCTGCTGTGCTTCCATCGATAGGAGCATTCGAAGCATTTTTCAGCGCAAATATACGATTGCTTTCATACGTTGTTGTCATGCTGTTTTGGCTGCATACTAATCTTAGAATTAAGCCTAGAGGCTAAGTAGCTTGAGTAGTAGCTCGACCAAAACTAACTGGGTATTGCTGAAACTGTAGCTGCTTGGTTGATTCACAAGTTTATTATACAATTATACTTGTTTAGACTATTTAAATTGCAATGTAAGTTACACACACCTTACAAAATGCTTTATGTAGAATTTAATTTTACACACTTTAGTCGAGGAGCTGTAAAGTGCCATGTAAAGTCAAGTAAATATAAATTTCCCTTTTCCTCCCCAGAACGGCACCAAGTTAGCCGAGACCCCAACTGAGACCCGAACCATTGCAAACAATCACCAACAGCAGACACTCCCAGTGCAGCAACCAATCGTTGGTGTAAATTCCAAGCAACCAGTGGTTGTGGGTGTAGTCACTCCAACCACGACGATAGTCGCCCCAGCCGGCGTACAGGGTGGCTCAGAGGGAGCCAGCTCCACCGCCAACAATGTGAAGGCGGCAACAGCAGCTGTGGTGGCTGAACTAGCAGCCACTGTTGGTGGTGGTGATGAGGTCCAGGATGACGACGAGCAGGAGGATGAGTTTGTAAGTTTTAAAATGGATAAATATCACATATCCTTTAAAAATATTCAATTTAGGAATCCGATCGCCGTGTGGGCTTTCAAGTGGAGGGCGAAGATGATGACTTCTACAAGAGGCCACCCAAACTACACAGAAGGTAAGGAATATAAATCATTAACTACTCGATATTGGAAGATCTTTGGATCTACTTTGACTATTCAACTCTTATTTATTTTGAAACATTTTTATAATTTCGTACTTAGGGACACTCCGCATCACCTAAAGAACAAGCGTGTCCAGCATTTAACCGACAAGCAGGCCAGTGAAATCTTGGCCAATGCCCTAGCCTCCCAGGAGCGGAACGATACCACACCGCAGCACTCGCTGTCCGGCAAAGTGACATCACCAATTGAGGAGGAGGAGCAGCTGGAGGTGGAGCAGGAGCAGCAACAGCAGCAGCATCCCTTCGACTCCTCGCTCTCGCCCATTCCGGCTGGCAAAGCAGCAGAGGCTAGCACCGACCCAGGTAAATACCGAAATTGTTTCAATTAATTACATTTATATTGCTCTATCTCTGAGAACTGTGTCCAAAACAGCCAAAGTGCTTTGGGTGCAGCAGACTGGCTGGGATAGCCAGGCATTGATGGGAAATCGATATGAAAGTGGGCGGGCACTGGTAATTTTCACTCATTTGCCAACTGGGTGACCTGTAAGGGCGGACACTGAAGTGGAAACTTAATTGGCATCCTCTTGGACCACTTTTTAGATGCAAAATGAAACCACAAAGGGATCACCCATACCCATACCCTCTTTTAATTGTTTTTAGCTCTCCACACGCCACCTAAACATAAAAACACTCCACTCTTTTTTTTCTGGGTCTAGGCCTCATCAATGGGGCAGTACTTCCGACATAATTATATCAGCAGCAAAAAAGAGAGCCAAGTCGATTAAAAGCGCGTTATGCCAGCGGAATACTACAGGTGTAGAAACCGAGTTGGGCTTGTGAAACACACGCAACAGTTGAGCGTTAGCCTGGCCTATAAATAGGCGAGGCACGTAGTGTTTGCCTGCTTATCAGCTAACGATATCAGCTTGCAAAAGCTGATAAAAAATGAGCAGAGATAGTGGAAAAACTGTGCAAACCTCACTCAAACAAGCAGAGGGTAAACAAGCAAAGAGAGCGCGCCGAATGACGATAAAAAATGTGGTGCAAATGAAACTGAAATGAGTTGCCTCATTATACACATATGCGGCTAGGGCTATATGGGTATGGCTACCTGGGAAAACTGAGAGTCAGAAGAGAGCTACGGAGAGGCTAGAGTCTAGAGACCTGAGACCTGAGACCACATCGAGTGCAATTGCCAGACTTTGCGACCGGGTCTGGGCGTTTGGCCCACTCGCCGCCTGCTTTAGTCATTCTTCAGTTACGCTTGCGTTTTGTCAACGTCGCGAGAGACGCGCTACATTCGTCAGCAGCTCACCGTACATTTGCACTTGTTATTATACGGACTTTTATTGTTTTTGTTTGCTTCTCAATTGGCATTCAAAACAGAGAGCAAGACTCCCGAGATCTTGGCCAATAACAATAGCAGAAGCTTCACACGCAAATATCAACACCTTGACTTAGTCGTAAAAGCAGAGGAAAACAACATTTCATTGTTAAATACTTCTCCTATGGAGAGTGTGAAATGTTTTTTCTTCGGCCCTACTTTTTCTGCTTACGTGTTTTGCTGTCTCGAGCGAATATTGTTATCGATTTTTGTCTGCTGTCCGTCATAATTCCTTTATGGAGGTGTTGAGTTGTTGAGGAGGAGGCAGCGGGTCATTCGTCTGGAAAGTTTCTCACGTTGCGCATACGCAGCGTATAATGGCCCCAGGCCGTAATTGAATTTCAACTGCAGTTCTCCGTCAATTCAAGTGTTCAAGGTTGGGAAACGGAACAGAAGGAAGGAAAACCCCCAGGCAGAGTAGCCGTCCCTATTTGCATATCGGCTGCAGTGCATATCCCCGAAAATGAGCTACTTGAAAGTAAATTTAGTCTTGTTTATATAGCAAGCGTTGCCGGGTTTTCTGTTGGATATTTGCAGATGGCAAACATGAGAACATGAGAAGTGTGCTCGATTCGGTTCGGTTCGGTTGTGTGCATATCCGGTTTCCCGGAATCTCCTTCGCCTTTGCACAGATTTTTTTGGCTAGATATTGCAACCGCTTCGGCAATACAATCAACATTTGCACAATTCCTTTGACATTTCTACGCTCATGGCCTCTATTTTTTTATAATTTTTTTTTTTTGCTGAATTCTGGCAAACAATGTGCTGCATTTGCTGCACATTTCCTGCAGGATTCTTAAAGCACGGCTACGTTCTTATGGAACTAGAATGGTACCGTCCGAGTCGACCAATGTTGGCCAATAAATAAACCGTTGATAAGCTCAAGGCAATGGCATTCATTATTTATGTATTGTACCGTTGATTGCATGGGATTCTTATTGAATTTTCCCCAGTATGTTGCGTGTTCGTCAATGTGCTTGTATATTTATATATGATTCTTTGTCGGTTTCCCGGTTTGTTTGTTCGGTGCGCCCTTTTCATCACTGTTGTAACAAAGTATGCATTATTATTTGCTGTTCTCTTGCAGCTTTTGTGCAAACAGCAATTTAAACTATTTGCAGTTGGCATTCCTTCTATCATTGGCATCAAACAAACACGATTTCGATTTGGATTTTGGCTTACTGAATGTTTAAGTTTTGCGAATGGAATCATACCCCTGAACTCAGGTCTTGTGCTCTTCACAGTTGCATGCTAAGTTTATCGTTTAAACCGCCACTCCCCAGTGACAGAATTTTCCCAACCCCCCACCGCCATCAGTCGTGACAGTTTTCTCCCCCCTTTAAATAAGAGGACAAAATAGGAAAAAAACGTCTTCCCATTTTCGCGCTAGAAAACAAACAAAAATGCAATAAACGCCAGCTGCAGCGGAGAAGAGAGGAGCATGTTCGGGTCAAAGAATTTCACTGCGTATTTTCCAATATTTTCGCCGCCATGTTGATAGCATGGAAATGTGGAAAATTCGAGTAATTGTCACTGAGGTGGCTGTCTGTCCCAGCAAACCAAACCAATCCAAGCGAACATCGGTTTGTCAACAAACATGGATGCGGGAATGTGACGACCTGAATTGTTGCCCTCAAAATGCAATCAAAATGAACACACACCCGAGCTGTTTTCATTACCAAAAAGCGCTTTTCGCGCCCATGATATCATCCGTTTCGTTTTAAGCACATTAATCAGTACGCAAACCTTTGCTGCCCCACTGATATCGGGAAATAACGCATACGACAGGTGGACCAAGGTCATTAACTACCACTTGACTTTGCTGTACTGTGGGCTGTGTAGGTCCCTTGTTGTAATGCTCCTACGTATGTGTCCAAAAATTTCGTAATGATTCAGAGCCGCCTTATCGCCAGTTTGTTTTACTACTACGGTTTCGTTTTGTTGCCTTTTCCCCCCCTTTTTTGGGCCTTCTTGTTTTGCTTTATCACATTGGCTTAGGCATTCCAAAGTTTGATTAGATAACACTGTTGTGAACGCACACCCCTTTCAAAAAAAGAACATAGCTCCATTGCAGTGAAAATCGAAGGAGAACAGACAGTTTTGATGGAGGGAGCTTAGTGTGGTTTTGTTGTCGGGATATTCCTGGCTGATTTTATGCTCCCATAAAAACTTTGTTCATTAATTTTTGTCGCCACATTTAAGCGGACGTCGCACGGTCTTTTTTGTTGATTTCCAAAGCTTAACACTCGCAATTTGTCAGAGGCTGCAGCATCGCTACCCGCCGTTTAACCTGGTGGGCAATTAATCATGGAACCTGCCAGCACTCCACAACTAAAGCATTTTCCATAAGCGCCTGAAACGAAATAAGACGAAAATAATGCAGATCTCGTGGATTGCAAAAGGGCTTTAATTCGCTTTTAAGCGCGCTCGAATCATTGATCTCTCGACATTGATAATGTCGAGGTAATTAAAATCGATTGATTCCATGCGGTCATTGCCTTAAATTCCATCAGAGTTGGAAGCGAAATTTGCATGAACGGGGAAAAGTTGTAACCCAAGTTCTTATTTTTTTGTTTCCACTTGTCATAACAAATGTGACAAGTTGAAGCTCCAGGAGAGTGCCGTCCACATCTTGGCCACAGAATGCCGTGAGGAAAAAATAGTCGAGTGAAATATGATTTCTGCCTTCTGGCATGTGTCCATGCTGTGGGCTAATTTCCCAGGGACAGAGACGAAGACTTCTGCCACATGGTCATTTACATATAAATGACAAAACAAAAAGAGAGCAGCGAACTGGAGAAGCTGCAGGATTCCAGCTCCATGCTATTGCTTTGGAAATTTGGAATTTTGGCATTTGTCAGCTAGCAGGAGATACCGATTTGTGATTGCGATTCATAGCCAGCGTGCAAATGGTAATGCATTCGGGGAATCATCATTTCTTATTGCCACCTCTTCATTTTACGAGTTGCTCTCGTCTTTTGGTATATTTAAATTTTTATATGTTTATGCTTATGCCATTTATTTTACGGGTGATGAAGGACAAAAACGATGGCCTTACTTCGGGGCTCACCTCATTCAGCTGCATGCGTGATGTCATCGTAAAATGCTTAAATGCCCGCTTAAGTGGGTGCCGCAAAAAGTTCGCAGGCACTCTGGCAATCAGTAAAATAAGTCTGATAAGAAATATGAGGAAAACAAATGGTATTATGCGATCCTTCTTGTGCAGTTCCCGTTCCAGTTCGTATTAAAACTTCACTTTCCTTGCCTTGCCCCCCCGAAAGATTGCCTACATTCCGGCGTTTTCAGGAACCGGAATAAAAACACACAGCACGTGTCATTTGCTCTCCTCCCCGGGAAAAAATCTTATTTTGTTTTATGGCTTTTTCTCTGGTTATTGTTGTCTCGGACCGTTTTTCTCCCACTCATCTGGGTGGAAAGCATGAAAAGATGGCTTTATTCTGAACGCATGCATGTGGGCGAAATATATACATATCCATAAAAATATCTTTCGGTTACACATTTGTCCGGCAATTCAGAGAGTCAAATTGAGAGTGAAGGAGATGAGTTGTTGGCGCTTAAAACATTTAAACAGCATACTTTGCTGCTACAACACCTTTGCTTAAACTTCTGCGCCATTGAAATTGTTGAATTATGAAGCAGAAACAAATTTGGGTCTGCAAGCAGAGAAATTCAAATTTTCTGAATACCCCACTCAACTTACCAAACTCAATAATGGTACATTGAGTGAATGCCATTTCGGTTTGCAGGTGGAGTAGACTGAAATACGGCAATATTAATGTTGACTTGACAGGCAGACAGGAGTCCATGGAGGTGAGGCTCAAGCTGAGTGCCCCTGTCTTTTCATTTATGCATTGATTAACATGAAAACTCGCATACAATTATAAAGTGAAATTGTCTCAAGAGCCGACTCTCTGTATTCCCCGTCCCGCCATCCTGGCGAATCCTTGACAGTCGATGGATGTGGAGATGGGGAAAAGAAAATGATTTTGTTGGCCAAAGTGCCGACGGATTTATTGAGTGCAAATCAGCAATAGCGAAAATGAAAGCAATAAATGTGCTCCTGAGAAGGGAAAGTTACTGGTGCTCATCTTCCTTACACCACCTGCCTGCCCTCCAGTTTCTTTTTTTCGACCTGAGGGACGTCTGGGAGTTTGCTGGCAGACTGTCTGTTTATTTATTTAATAATTATACAAAGTCGTTTTCTCGGCTGGGGGACTTGAGGGGTCTCATTCAAGGTCGTTGCTTTCATGCCTGTTTCTAGTGGGGGGGAAATATGGCTTTGGCAGCGGTTCATTGACTGCTGTTTATGGCCAAGTACCAGCTGCTGCTGGCCAACTTTTGGTCATTCAATTTAAATGTCATCATGGCAAAAGTGATGCTGAACACGAAGTCTTTAGGTTGTTGCTTCGTGGGAGGTGTTTCAAATTTGATTAAATCAACGCAATAAATGTTTAATTTCACTGATGCTCTATCGCATTGATGGGGTTTTCCGTTCCGATGCACTTGAATGGATGCATATGGGGTACCCACTTAGCCAGCACTCTCTGCTTTTATCTATTCCTCTGGCAGACACAGATCGATTGCGCTCCTTTAGCTCCTCGGTAGCATGAAAAGTTAGCTTCGCATATTAAAAAGTGCAGTCAAATAAAAAATAGGTTGCCTCACAACACACACTGGGTGTCTGGACAAGATGCCTGGCAGCTGCTTATATTAAAAAGTGCACTCAGATAAAAAGCAAATCAAGCCATGTTCAATGTCAAAATCAAAGTCAAAGAGGGCAACAATACCCTGCCCCGAAATGGTCAGCGCAGCAACGGAAACTTTAGCTACTCCGGAGGTGGAAGTGGTCGTAATAGTCCGGCGATGAGCAGCCTGCGCAGCTCACTGGCCTCCTCCAATCGGAGTCCCAGTGGATCACTGCAGCGAAAGGGCAAAAGAGTACGGATAGTGACCAGCTACGATCCGGTGGATCGGGATTACGAAAGGCAGAGGCAGCATTATGGTAACAGCTCGGGGATTAAGAAATATAAATATATTCCTTTATCTTGATTGATATTAAATACAAATTTATATCTTTTTTCCAGACAACTTGGATGGCGTTACGGAGCTGCGTTTGGAGCAGTACGAAATCCACATCGAGCGCACCGCCGCCGGATTGGGTCTGAGCATTGCCGGTGGCAAGGGCTCAACGCCCTTCAAGGGAGACGACGATGGCATCTTCATATCAAGGGTCACCGAAGCGGGACCCGCTGATCTGGCTGGCCTCAAAGTGGGCGACAAGGTGATCAAGGTCAACGGCATTGTTGTCGTGGATGCGGATCACTACCAGGCGGTGCAGGTGCTAAAGGCCTGCGGTGCCGTGCTTGTTCTGGTAGTACAGCGTGAGGTGACTCGCTTGATTGGACACCCCGTGTTCAGCGAGGATGGCAGTGTGTCCCAAATCTCGGTGGAGACGCGACCACTGGTGGCGGATGCCCCTCAAGCTGCATCCATTAGCCACGAGCGTTACATCCCGGCACCCATCGAAATTGTGCCCCAACAGCAGCACCCACAGCAACAGCAGCCCATTCAGCAGGTGGCTCCAACGCATAGCTATTCGGGCAACGTTTTTGCCACACCCACTGCCGCACAATCGGTGCAGGCTGCGGCATCTGCAGCGCCCAACGGATTGCTACTGAATGGCAGGGTGTGTAATCCACGAAAACCCCTAACCAAATCCTCCTCTCTGACATTTCACTCGTTTCCCTCGTCTGTCCCTTACTATTTGTGATTGATTTCTGGTTTTCGATGTGCGGTCATTTCAGGAGGCGCCACTGAGCTACATCCAGCTGCACACAACGCTCATCCGCGATCAGATTGGCCAAGGACTGGGCTTCAGCATTGCGGGCGGAAAGGGGTCGCCGCCGTTCAAGGACGACTGCGATGGCATTTTCATATCCCGCATCACGGAGGGCGGACTAGCGCACCGTGATGGAAAAATTATGGTGGGCGACCGGGTGATGGCGGTAAGTGGGAGGCTTTCGGGAGCCGGACGTTTCAATCTCTGACCCCGGCTAATGGCATTTCCCTGTACAGATTAACGGCAACGATATGACTGAAGCCCATCATGACGCAGCCGTCGCCTGTTTGACTGAACCGCAGCGATTTGTGCGTTTGGTGTTGCAACGCGAGTACAGAGGTCCACTCGAACCGCCGACGAGTCCGCGCAGTCCGGCAGTGCTCAACTCTTTGAGCCCATCCGGATATCTGGCCAACCGACCGGGTGGGTATATACATAGGCATACTCAATAGATTTGAACACTTGTTGTCTTGTACTTGTATTTTTCATGCGCTTTAAATAACCAACGGTTTTCTCACCTCCATTTCCAACAGCTAATTTCAGCCGATCGGTGGGGGAAGTTGAGCAGCCGTACAAGTACAACACCCTGGCTACGACCACGCCCACACCGAAGCCCACTGTGCCAGCGAGTATAAGCAACAATAATAACACTCTGCCCAGCAGCAAGACCAATGGATTTGCCACTGCTGCTGCCACGATAGAGAGCTCCGCGGGGCAACCAGTGCCCGCTCCCCGTCGCACCAACTCCGTTCCACTGGGAGATGGAGACATGGGGGCGGGATCCACCACCAGTGGTGATTCTGGCGAGGCTCAGGTAAGGAAGTTGGATAATTAACTTTAGTAGTTGCATAGACTATAGTCTAGTTTCTGTTTAGCCAGTTGCACGTCATTTTAATGTTGCCCATAAGCTCGTTACCTTACTTTTTTGTTTTCAACAATCATGATCAGTCGGTAGGATTAAGATAGAACCAAAATGTATAAGCTTGCGCTGCAGTATCTTACGTATATTTTTAATCAGCTGAAGAGGTAAGTCACCGAAATTTAAACTGTTTCGTTAACAACAAACTGCAGCGCAAGTCGTCCAAGCAAATTGTTGTTGATATTTGGCGTCCAAAAACCTAAATTCAAAACCTAAACATGAACGCACTAAATAGTCATAAGATACCTAATATGTGCTAATCCATTTCTCCGCCAGATTATCAATTACTCATAACACTAGCTGCTAGATCTATATATTTGCTCATCTACTCGTATGTATAACGAAATTGTTTGTGTTTGTTTTGCATGTGCCCTGTGCGCCCTGTTTGTCCTCCCAATATATGCTATATGCTCATTGTGCATACAAGTCGAATTTATATAATTATCGACCGATTAAACACTAAGTTTGCACCGATTTATGTCCCAGCTTGTAAGCACCCATCGAGAAAAAGAGCCAAAATGCTAGGAGGCGTTTGCAGGATTGTATCTAAATTAATGATATTCATAGTTAGGCACGTTAGCTTAGTTCTAGATCTAACGATGGCTCCATAGCCCATCATTAAAAGTGAAACCAAAATTTACAAAAACCAACATATTTTTGTTTTGTTTCTTTTTCTCTGATCAACCACCATCCCCTCCAAAATCAAAAACTTGCTTAAACCCGATATTTCCGAATACTTTGCTAAAACCACGTAAATCCACGTAACAACCAACGTACATACCCAACCACGACCATGAGCAGCCCTCCTCGTTGCGACCGCTGACCAGCGATGATTTTCAGGCGATGATCCCGGCACACTTCCTCAGCGGCGGCAGTCAGCATCAGGTGCATGTGGCCCGGCCCAACGAGGTGGGCGTGAGTGCCGTCACGGTGAATGTGAATAAGCCACAGCCGGATCTGCCCATGTTCCCGGCGGCACCCACCGAACTTGGCCGCGTCACCGAGACGATCACCAAGTCAACGTTCACGGAGACGGTGATGACGCGCATCACCGACAATCAGTTGGCGGAGCCGCTTATCAGTGAGGTGACTATCTCCACATCCCGCATACACTAGAAGCGCGTACAGTCGCTGCCCAGAGTCCAAGAGTTAAAGAATCGTTGTGTAAAAGTCACAAGCAAAGTTATCCGGACACGGACACACATTATCCTGTAGCTCAGATGACCTGAAAATATGTAAAAAAAAAAAAAAACACAAAAAATAATTATTTTGTAGTGTATCCAGCACGGAATTTGAGCTTTTCTCGTCACCGCACATAAGCACGCACACCCGTACATGATGCACAACACACACCAAAATTGATTTAATTTAATTCTAAATTAATTTATGATTTATACACCCCACAATTGGCACACTTTGACCCATCGGCCGCGCATCCTATCTACAATTTGATTTTGCTTAATAAATATATGTGCGTTTTGCAAACGATTTGATTTAACTATTGGTCCCCAGTCTGATGTGCGCCTGCCTTGGAGGCGCCGATTTCATATATGTTTCATGCCAAGCATTATGCAAAACATGCACATTTACAAGAGTTGTGATTGCTCCGACTAATTGAGTAGCAGTTGAGATGGAATTGGACTAAGTTGGTTATGGCAAGGAACTGGAAAATACTATTAAGCGATTAATCAATTCAATTTAATTCAATTAAATGTGGAAGAAGTTTTGCATGCCACTCGTTTCTGTACCGAGTTAACTTTCCCCCTACTAACACTGGATAAATATAGTTTTCCATCTGTTTCACAAAAATCCTGGTTTATGTTTCCTTTGCAAATAACTTGAAACCGACAAAAATATTTATTAAAGTGGGCACTAGCCATAATGCTTTTAAGGGGTTTTTAAATGTTTTGATGGCCAGGCCAACACTTGCATACTTACTGTTCTTTCACAGTAACCTAATCTATAGAATTGAGCGGCAAAGCGCCTTTCGTTTGAACGACAGAATGGTTTACTCACTCACTTTTCGTAGAGCTTTGTCACTTGCCACTTGCAGCATAAATAACTAAACCGGCAAACTATGCTACATGCAAATATCCTTAAATAATAAAGTGAGTGCATGCCGAAAAAAGATTTAGCAACTCTAAATGACTCGCAAGAGTTCCCAACAGCGTTTATTTTGTGTGCGCCAGAGTGTGGCCGTAAGTAAACTTTTGATATTTCTGTTTGCCTTCGCAATCGGATGGAGATTGTGTCTGTCTCCGGGGCACGGATAAATAAAACATTTAATTGTTTTTAATTTATTTTCCCCTTCTGCGTTTGCATTCCGCATCGAAGCGAGATATCCGTTGGCTTCGAACTCGAATGTACCAGTATTCAATTTCTTGAGGTAATTGGCAAGAGTTAGTGGCAGTGTTTATTTGACATCTTGACACGAATGAGCCTTTGTGGATATGTCTGTGCCGCTGTCAGTTCTCAGGAGATAGTTCCGACTTTCTCGGCAATGAATATAAAACAGAAATATTATGCTTTGATGTTGCAACAAGCCAGCACTTGAGCTAAACGATGCTCACCTCAACCACAGGAGCCGCAAAAGCTTTGTTTAAATCTGTGTGAAAATGCGTGAGCCAGGAAAATTCAGCATAAAGTGGGCGTTTCACCCACTCTTCTTTGTGCATGTTGTTTAATCTAAAATTAAGTTATTCATAAGAGCAGCACAAAACGTATTCATTATTTATTGAATGTGAATCACTCTTGGTACTTGGTTTTCATGTTTAAGGAATGCTTCGACTTAAGTGCATGACTTTGTTTTTTGGTGTTTGGCTTGTCTTGGTTTTTGTGTCTCACGATGTGAAACCCCCGCCTTAATTTATATGTACATTTTAATATAAATATCACCAACAATTTTGCACCACCATTGAACGCCAGCACATGAGCACCCTTCATCCATGGATTCACCTAATACACGACAGACTCAGTAGGATTCTTAGCGTTAGGCCCATTGATCTGTGTTAATTTTGTGATGTGCTAACACGATTTCCCATTATCTGTCCTGTAGGAGGTTGTGCTGCCCAAGAACCAGGGCTCCCTGGGATTCAGCATCATCGGCGGCACGGATCATTCCTGTGTGCCCTTCGGCACTCGAGAGCCCGGCATTTTCATATCGCACGTAAGTACGGACGGATATATTAACTAACAATTACCTGCAGCAGCAGCTGGCAAAAAAGTTTTCGAATTAAAACACTCGAGTGGCCGCAACTTGTGAATGCAAATGAGCTGCTGCTGCTCCTGCTGCTGCTTCTGCTGCAGAACAATTGTTCAGAATCCAGTGGCTCGGAGGATGGCTTCATTATAAGCAGCCAACTAAGCCAGCTGCCAGCTCGAAAGTTTCAAGTCTTTTGGCCATTTATGAGTATAACAATTACCCATGGGGTTTCCCCTCCTTAAATCGGACAGATTGTGCCCGGCGGGATTGCCTCCAAGTGCGGCAAGCTGCGCATGGGCGATCGCATATTGAAGGTCAACGAGGCGGATGTTTCCAAGGCCACACATCAGGATGCTGTTCTGGAGCTGCTGAAGCCAGGTGATGAAATCAAGCTGACCATTCAACACGACCCACTGCCGCCAGGATTCCAGGTAAGTTTCGTGGACTGGAAAAGTTCTTACAAACCCATTTTAGACTGCTTTTGTAATCGTACTGTAAATATGTATATACGCTTTGGATCTACTTCTTACTCCTCCTCTATAATCAATTTTTGTATACTCTGCCACTGCTCACAAACAAATTCAATACGCACAGAGCATAGAAGTAGTTTATGTAAAAACAGAGGTAAGCTCCTCTTGGCTTTGAGAGGGAAAATATTTGCAATTAGCCAAATGCCTTTTCCTGATCTTTTTTTTTTTGCTTTGTTTCGGCCTGATGAGAGTACCGATTGTTATTTGTCAGCATTTAAGCCGAGTCCTTGCTCATTTCCATGCTTTCCTAATTGTTAATTGTAAATCGCAGGAAGTGCTACTCAGCAAGGCGGAGGGCGAACGTTTGGGCATGCACATCAAGGGCGGCTTGAATGGCCAGCGCGGTAATCCGGCCGATCCCTCCGACGAAGGCGTCTTCGTGTCCAAAATTAACTCGGTCGGTGCGGCCAGACGGGACGGAAGGCTTAAGGTAACGTACTGCTACCATCTTGGGCGATTACGACTCGCCCACCTTTGTTGTCTGGGGAAAAACTCGATTGAAACTTTTGCTGCTACTCCGTTTGCTTCAGGTGGGCATGCGTCTGCTGGAGGTTAATGGACACTCGCTGCTGGGTGCCTCGCACCAGGATGCGGTCAATGTGCTGCGCAACGCCGGCAACGAGATTCAATTGGTTGTCTGCAAAGGCTACGACAAGTCCAATTTAATTCATTCCATTGGCCAGGCCGGCGGCATGAGCACTGGCTTCAACTCGTCTGCATCCTGTAGCGGTGGCAGTCGCCAAGGTACGTAATCGTACGAGCTTATCGACCCACTTGAGTCCTTCTTAAATTACTTTTCCTTTGCTTGCCCAGGCTCGCGTGCATCGGAAACGGGCTCGGAACTGAGCCAGAGTCAGAGTGTATCCAGCTTGGACCACGAGGAGGATGAGCGTCTGCGACAGGTGCGTACAAAAGTTAAGAAGCAGCCTGGGCATGACATTAATAGCTACTTCCCCATTTGCCAATAGGACTTCGACGTCTTCGCCTCGCAGAAGCCAGACACACAGCAGCCAACTGGCCAATCGGTTCTGGCAGCCGCTGCTGCCATGGTGCACGGCGCTGCGTCGCCCACACCTCCTGCTGCCACCTCCAATACAACTCCATTACCCACAGCCGCGCCAGTGGCATCTGCTGATTTAACAGCACCGGACACGCCAGCCACGCAGACTGTGGCGCTCATTCACGCAGAACAGCAGGCCCATCAACAACAGCAACAGCAGCAGCAGACGCAGCTGGCGCCTTTGGGTCAGGAGAAGAGCACCCAGGAGAAGGTGAGTGACTGGACTGGCCTTGGGACATTCGGTGAAAACTTATGCCTCGTTGTTCGTTTGCAAATTAGGTGCTGGAAATTGTACGCGCGGCTGACGCCTTCACCACCGTGCCACCAAAGTCGCCATCGGAGCACCACGAGCAGGATAAGATACAGAAGACGACGACGGTTGTCATATCGAAGCACACGCTCGATACGAACCCAACCACCCCCACAACGCCGGCGGCACCTCTTCCCATCGCCGGTGCAGAGTCAGCGAACTCGACCAGTGCTCCTTCTCCAGCTGTTCCAGCATCCACGCCCGGCTCAGCGCCAGTTCTTCCTGCCGTGGCCGTGCAGACACAGACGCAAACGACCTCCGCGGAGCAGGATGAAGAGGAGCAGTCGCAACTACAGGTATGTACCCACCTGACCGTGGATGCACGTCTCTTGTCTTGGCTTTAATGTCTCTCTGTATGTATGTGTGTGTGTGTACGTCTTTCAATATTTGTGTGTATTTTTTGTTCGAGTAAAACACCTGTCTGTGTGCGAGTTTTGGTACCCAGATCCAGATCCAAGTACAGAGAAACACCCATGTAACAGCTAACACGAGCCGACAGTCGCCACCCCAACAGAAAACTCGACTCTAAACCCGACCAATCTCTTAACTTGATTTTTGTTTCGTATTCCGCTTGTTATGTGTTTGTGTAACTTCACTAATGCCTTTGTCCTGTCACTGACATTTCGTGTCCTGTGCTTGGAGTGCGTGCGTGTGCGTGTGTGTGTGTCACAAACTTTAAAATGTATTCAAAGTAAGGAGATGATAAACCAAAAACACCATACTACCATTCATATTCACAAACCACAAAGGTCACAAAACTGTTGTTGTGATAAATTTGGTATGTGATGCCAGTTGAAAAAACCGAAAAACATAGCTACACATATTTTCAACTGAATTCACAGGTAACAGCATGATAGCATCAGACCATTAAACCTACTGACTGTAACTAAAACCAAAATAATCATTGCATCCACTCGTTCCAAAGCACTTTCATTCTCTCATGTATGCACTAGCAGCATTGTATTCCACATCCATTTCGTGTTTTACGTACTTTTGTTGCTGCTTTAAGGCGATCTTTTTGTTCAGTTGCATTTGAATTAAAAGTGAATAAAAAATCATAGCCTATCTATATGGGCCGATTGAACCTGGGGGCGTATGAGTTATGTATTTTTTCTGCATGCGTGTCGGGCTTGCGCTTAGCTGCTCTCAGCTCCTGTGAGCTGCTCCTTTACTTCTTTGGCAGAGGAGTAGATGGCCCCACATTTATTGATATGGCAGCAGACAATTTATTATTTATTAGCATATTGGCTGCTGTTGCTGCTGGCTTTCTGAGAACGTCCTTTCTTGGTCTGGCTCACTCTCATCATTGTTCTTGTTGAGTTACGTTGTTGTTGTTGTTGTTCTTGTTGCTCGTGTTGCTGTTGTTATTTATGCTACTTTCATATTATATTCATTTCAGTTTGCGTCTTTACTGTTACCGTTCGTTGGTACCTTTGCCCCCACTGCGTAGGCGGTGTTATTATTGTTAACGTTGATGTGGTTCTGTTTGTTGTTGGCTTTAAAGCATGCCCCATTTGAATTTGCATTGAAAGCAGTAGGGAACAAACAAAATAACGAAAAGGGAAAGATATCGGGCATACATTACATATATATACAAACATATACTTACTATATAGATGGCACGTATAATAAATGTAAATGTGAATAATTCAAAAACTGCAGAAAGAAAATTTCCATTAAAACGTCTCTCTTATCTTCTTCTCGTCCTTGTTCTTCTTTCATTCTTCTAAATTCCTTCAATAATGTGCGCGCTTTTCAACAAATTGTTGATTTTGTATTCATTTTTTTGTTTTCTTTTATTTATAACATTTCTTATTGTTTTCCTCAACCATTTTGCAATCTGTTCCGTTGGTTTTGCATCGTTTTCCGCCCGCCATCGATTTCATTGCAGCTTACTGCTGAGCAGCGCATTGCTTAACAAGCGGATGTTTATCACCATAAGACTGAATATTTAGTTTAAACTGACAGAATACAAATGCTAGCAGCCAAAATGAAAGGACAGGAGGCAACAGCTTGGGTTTGCAGGCTCTACTATTGTATTCGTACCAATGGAGTTGCAATATATACAAAATAAAAACAAACTAGGATTTGAGGACGCGTGTTCAAAGGGCCAAGAGTTACTACTAATAGCGCTTTCGTCCCCGTAATCCCCCACTCGAAATTCAATCAAAATCCGAACGCTCTCAACTCAGCAAATGGTTTCAATGTCTTCTCGCTAGAACTCTGTCTCCACCTCCCATCCAATTGTTAAAAAGTGTGTCCTTATCAACACTAACGGCAACAAATTCACACGCCTCCACAACCTCCACACATCCCAGACAATTGTTGAGATGAAAGGAACTCAGTACCGAAAATGTGTAAATGTATTTATCAACGCGGAATGCTGTAATCTTGTCGCCATTTTGCGACGTAAAGTATTCCACTTATACATGTAGTCTTTCGATGTTTATACTATGTGAAACGAAAACTGTTTACTACATAACACGCAGAAGACACACACACTATATATTACTAAATGTGTAACAACGTGTGGCAATCACACACAAAAGGTCCAATTATGCAACTGAATAATACTCAAGAGATGAATAGAATCTTTCCGACAAAAACTAAAGCCGATGACAAAAGGCATCTTGTTATAACCTTTTGAAAGAGCCAAGCTATACCTATACTAGGGATATTTTGTTAAAGTATCTACTAAACTGTTACCACATAGTTAAAACCGAATTCACACCGTATATTGATTGATTACCCTTTATGCCAATGGTTAGGTTTGAGTTTTCCACTTTCGTTGTTACCTAATGATAGTTAAATTTAAAGCTAGCTAAATGGAATTTAAAGTGTGAATTTTTGATGTCAATAAATCTTAATGTATTTGTCGTATAAAAACCTCAAAAAATGGGTCAAACTTTTAATTGCATCTTGGTCTTGGGATGACCAAAGATTAAATTCTCGGAAGTTTCTTAGTTTTTGGCCAAGAAGTTTAATTCACGAAACTTTTCGTTTGATTTCGTTATTTTCCTTTTGCCATGTGAATCGTTTTTGTCTTCGTATTTCGTATCTGCTATATCTCTGTATTTTCGTATCGCTGCTGTTCGCTATTGTCATCGTGTGCCGAGTTCATCAACCCAAAATCATCACCCAGCAAATTGGCCAGAAGAGTCCCAGTCGCAGTCGCAGTCACTCACCTCATCATCAAGCAGAAAATCACTGGTAATTGGCTAATGGACGCAGGTTGCAAAGGAGCACCAAAAACAATACCAAACAGAATAGTACAACTCTTGTGTGTGTCGTTCCATCATCAACTAAATAAAGCGCACCCACATTCATCCCACTGTTTTGCCGAGAATACTTCACCACCATTTCACCCACTCACCATTAATGCTGCACACTGCAATTTGTGTTTCAAGCTTGTGTGCGATGACGTTGCACCCGAAAAATACCAAACCAAACCCAAACTAAAACGAATCTATACCGAACTAAATGAGCAATCCAACAACAATTCAAACTCTAATAGCAACGAGGCACCCAGACTCCAGATCGCCTGGCCCCCGGAGCACGTTACTCTTATCAGCAGATGCTGGAGTCGCAGGAGGAGAACCGAGCTTCTGGCAAAGCCACCCAAGCGAAGCCCAAGAAGGCGGAGCCCGTGTACATTATCGATGACGAGGACGATGATGAAGACGATGACGATGACGCAGATTCCCAGCGGCTGGACGACATCGACGCTATCCCAGAGGAGGAAGAGGAGGACACGGAGAGCTCTCCGCCTTTGGAGGTGCAGTCGCCACCTTCCTATGCAGACACGGATTCCGATACCTTCGATCGTCGGCGTGGGCGGTATACCAGTGACTCGGAAAGCGACTGCCGGCCGTACAAACAATCGAGATCGGGTCGCAGTACGCCGGAGTACGGTGGTCATCGCAAGTCTGTAAGCTTCGATCTCAGTGGAGACGAGCGCTCCAAGTCAGACTACGAGCGATCCCGCTCCCGCACTCCAGATTGTTATACTAGGGCCTACGATTCTGAGCAGGATACTCGCGGATCAGGACGTAATCGCTTGCCGCGCAAAGGCATCTTGAGGGCAACTAGTCCGTGCCCCACGCTAGAAAAATCGGAACCCATTGTGCCAGCAGTGGCACGCATCCGTGATGTGGAATCGCCGCAACTTCAGCGCGTCTCACGGGCCACTTCCCCTGATCGACCTGGCGAACTGGACCGGGAAAATCCATTCCGTCACCCCACTTCCGAGGATGATGAGTACACGCGGATAGCGAAGGAGGTCAGCAAATCGCCACGATCGCCGCGCTCCACCCGCGAGCAATTCTTCTTTGGCTCTTCGAGATCCAGTGAGGATCTGCTGGAACAATACCAGTCGCAATCCAGCGGTCGCAGCACCCCCAACACAGTGATCTCCAAGTCCACGGAGAATCTCACCGGCACGCGGCCAAAGGTACCTCCACCCACAGCTCCAAAACCGCAATTGAAGAAGGCGAACCTGGTGCGAAATGTAGCACTGGAGACATTCCAGGCCAGCGATGTGGGACAAGGTGATTTTACGGTGTTCGAGCACGATGCCAGCACGAACACGATCCATCCCGTGGAGGCCAAAGTTCCCGTTAGGGTCTCAACAAAGACGAAACCGAATCGGCCGAGGGAATCACCACCGCCGCCGCCAGTGAATTTCGCCACTCTTCCGAAGTTGCCAAGCACGCCAACCTTGCGAGAGGGAGAGGAGTCCATCTACATGGAGGCCCTGCCACCGACGCCCTCGCAGCTTCGTCCCCACGAGTTCTTGCACGAAAACTCACCGGACAATATTCTGGTGTCGCCGCAGGAGCACCGCGAGTACTTGCTGCGTGAGAACGAGCTGAGGAATCAGTTGAGGGCACCCTATGAACCCGCTCCACCTGTACCCATTGTCGGCGGCGGATATTCGGTAACGAATCCCTTTCTAGATAGTTTCGACACCGACATTGACAGCCTGCCATTGCCACCACCGCCCACACCGCCTGCCCAACACCAACATACACGTCATTTGCATGAGCCGCCGCAGTTTCCGCAGTTTGCGCCACCACTAACCGCTAACGCATCCACGTCTCCATCTTGTTCTTCCAATGCTGCTTCTGCTGGTGGCGCCACTAACCGCTTGATGGATTCGCCGCAACGACAGCTGCTGGTCGCCGGGTCGCCCACCCAGATCTTTCCCACGGCCCAGATACTGCCCGTGCAGTATGCCAGTTTGCCGCAACCGCAGCAGCCCAACACGCTCACCCTTAAGACCGTTTCCCCCTCTTCGTCCCACGACCCCAATCAGACCCTCTTCAACCTGGTACTCCTGCCCGGCGACCAGGTGGCCAACAAATCCTCGCCAGCAATGCTCTACCTGCAATCGGTGAGTGAATCGAGTGCCAAACCCCGGAGGGGGCCACCACCTCCTCCGCCCGTAACCGTGACCTCACCCACGCCCTCGTATGCCGCCATGAAGTTTCCGACCTTCTCGGAAATTGTTGTCAGTCCCGATGCGAATAGCAATTACCAAAATATGACCACTGCTCGCGTTGGCGTTTCGAATTCCTCGCTGGCCCACAGCACCAGTTCCTTCTCCGTCGGCTCCTCCAGCTCTTCACTTCTTTTGACCAAAAATTCGTCCTTGGGAGAGAGTGGTGTGCCCTCCAGTTATTACGAGACGGCCGAGGAGATCTACTCGACCATCGAGGAGGAGGCCATCTACAGCAACACCGCCTTCTTTGATTCGAGGCGCAATAGTGACACCTCGGTATCCTGTCGCGGCTCCAAGTCGCCCACACCGCCACCTCTGCCTCCCAAGCGACCTTTGAAGCCCACCAAGTTGCGTACCGCCCCCGCCCCGCCGCCAGTGGCCCAAAAGCCGCATGGCCTGAGGGGCATGGCCAGTTTCAAGCTGCGTTCCCAATCCCAGCCGCAGCTGGAGGGGGCGTGGCAACAGCCCGCTCTACCTCGTACGCCCACCACGCCCACGGGCAAGGAGACAACGGTGTAATTTTGAGCCGGAATGAAATCTAAGAATAAATCTAAACTGTTAGCCAAAGTATTTCCAAAGATACCTTACCCAGTGAATACTATCACCTCAGACTTGCTTCGAACGACATTAAAATATGTGAAAAATATCAGTCCATTCCGCTGCAAAAATACTTCAGTACAAAATCTTCTTAAGTGAGTTCACCAATAACATAAAACATCAAACAAAATAGTGAGACCCATACTTCATAATACTTCATAAATACCAGTTGCAAACTACTTTAGCAATAAATCAATAGAAAATCTAAGAACTCAAGGATTAAAACACAAATGTTTTTTCTTACAAACGGAATTGTGCTCCCCATTTAATTGAATAGCCTAAAAATATAGAGGAATAGCCCTCCGCAAAATGCGATTTTAGATTTATTCCACTTCAAAAATCGATCCACCTCCGGCGGTAGACCGCCATCCAACCACTTGCCTTCGGTGGTTTTCAACGATGACGATGCACTTAATTGCTCCTAAGCTGACCGCAGAACCTTCACATTCCCACTGCCACCCCGTTCTCCCTGTTCGTCCATGTCTCTGCTCATACATTTTAATTAAATTCTAACACCTTTTTGCCATCAATTAAATGGCCCAGCCCAGCCCCTTGCGTTTTTCTAGGTCTCTTTTCATTTCTGGAATCGACTGCAATTTTCAATATTTTCATTCCACTCGCTCGCAATTTAAATTGATTGATTTGTGGGTAGAACCTGCTGAACCTGCAGGCAGGCAGAAGGGGTGGCACACCTTTCCTGCTAATTAGATGCAACTTTCTGTTGACTTTCGAGACACCCTCGCCCCGACCCCCATCGACGTTCTACCTACTTTGCCACAAAATTGCAGTTGAAATTGAGCAGCAAGCGGTTGAAGTTTAATGGGCGCCACCTCGTCCTCCAGCTCCAGCTCCTGCTGCTGCTCCCGCTCCCGCTCCCGCTCCTGCTGTCACCCGCTCACCTGGCGCCCTCACTCCGCCCGAGTCTCGGGACAAGTTTAATTTGACGTTGATTGAAACGGTTGGCTGCTTATGGTCGCCCACCTGCAGTTACCACGCCCACTGGGCCATTAATTTTTGCTGCTGATGCCGCCGCTGCCCATTTTTATTATTGCCTTTTGTTTTGGAAAAACAAAAAATACAAAAAATACAAAAAAACGAATAAACGAGTGGAAGGAAAATAATACACGAAAAACCAACGAATAAATAAGTAGTATAACGAAGAAAAATACCTGAGTATAAACGAAATAACAGAAAAACAGACAGAAAACACAATTTTACAATTTATAAAGTTAATTTCGCCCTAGCGCTGCTAAGTTGATTTTAATGCTAATTTATTTTATCAAGACAAAGAAGCAAGTTGAACATTTTTAATTGCATACCTTAAGGCAAATAAACATTGCGTATTATTCTTATTTGCGTTTCGTGGGCTCTTTTCATTTTGTCTTGTCCCCCCTGGCCCTGTATTGTGTAAACAGGGTTTTGAGTACTCGAAAAACGATTGTTTGAATGGGCGCGATAACCCAGCACCCAAATGGGCCAGTGACCTTGACTCACTTAGCATTTGTATCTAATTGCGTCGTGACCCCAATTGGCCAAGAGGCACTAACTGGTTGGCGACCTGTCGCATTGGCACCTGGCCCTGCACTGATTTCGTTGTCGACTGGTTGCCCCTTTTAGTTTCCCATATCTCTGCTGCTTCTTTGTGTTGCAATCTTATCGCAAAGCACTCGTAATTGCCTAGCGATAAAAAAGAGTTGGTTACCTCTTATCAACGCCCTATCTCTCACCCACTAACACTGCTCGCATGGTCTGAATAATTCAATGGCTTATTGGCTTTTAATGCGCTCGCCATTTTGGCCCTCACACGTATATACACACTGGGACATCTCTGGGATCGGTTAACACACACACACGAGCACACACATTCACATTCTCAACACTTTCATGGCTCAATAAATTCCTATTAGCTGGACTGCTGAGCAGGGCAAAAAGCAGCTCCTCCAGCACTGGAGACTGATGCTGATAAACCAGCTCCATGGCCGCCCTACACCTCCACGTTGTTGGCTCTGCGCATTGACTTTAATTGAAAATCGAAAAATCCGATACGAAATTAATTTCTCTTCTAAAAATACAGCTCAGTTAAGCTGGCACTCCTGCTGCTTTCACTTTTCCCCATGCACTTGCCGGCCCTTCACTCCATCGCCCTTGGTTCTACGGCTTGCTTTATTTATGAGCTCTCGGACTAGTGTGGTCTGATGGTCTGGCTGCTCCTTGCTGCTCCTTACTGCTCCTGGCTGGAGGGTCGAACCCCACTAGTTCGGTATAAGGTTGCAATTTGTGCAGTTTAACGCTGGCCTTTGCCCTGTTTGCCTTTGTTTTGTCTCGGTCGTAGGGACCCGGCTTCCTCCCCTCTTCCCCGTTGTACTTTCCCACCCAACTGCTGCCATTTAATGACTTTGTCGTCGTAGTCGCAGTCATCGTTGCTCTGCAGGCACTAACTATCCAGACCGGGTTGGCTTTATCTGGCCACTGTGTCTCATGTTGCCCAGCACGAGGAATTGCATGAAAGCATAAAACCGACAGTACACACGACTTTGGGTGATAAATGGCCAGCTCCGCTCCGGTTTGGTTCGTTCCGTTCTAACCCACGCAGCTGTAATTTGCGCCCTCTCCAGTTCAATCCGAACTCAAATCCCAACCCAAACTCCAACCCACAACACCCCACCGTAAATTATATGCCCCGAGTGCAGGACACAGCAGCACAGACCCGAAAATGTCGGCTTGGTCACTTTATGATTGAGCCAGCCTATGGCTGATCCTGCTAAACTCGAACCGAAACGCCCTTTCTGGGCGTGACCGGTTCTGGACAAACAGACAGACTGTCCGACTGACTGCCTGCCTGCCTTTTTAATAAACTTGTGTAGTGCCATCAATTTTCTTTATGGCCATTTCGGATTTTTCAGCGCTGGCTTTGAAAATTGCAGTTTTTCCCAGTCATTTAATTGAAAATATGGCTGAAGGCTGATGGCTGAATGCTGCCAGCGTTTGAGCTTTATCTGTTTATTGATTTTTCTTTCGTTAAATAAATCCTTCGGATTTCTTCTTTTTTTTCTTGTGCGTTGAGTTGCTAACAAAAAGGTTTTGCAATTTTCCAGTCAACACCTGCCGACAGGGATGGAGATGGAGCAGAGGAGCAGCAGGACGAGGCTAGAGCCAAACCCACACCGACTAAAGTGCCTAAATCGGTTTCCGATAAAAAACGCTTCTTTGAGTCAGCCATGGAGGATCAACACAAGCCCACACAAAAGACAGGTGAGTCAATGGGTAGCGCGAAAAGTTCCCTGATTGAATGAGTGGCTCAATGATGTCGCCGTGCACTTTGCCCAAGCCGGTGGTCCTGCCACTTAAATCTCGCTTCTTGGCCCAAGTTGTCAATCAAACCACTTATCTGCGGTTGCCAAGCCACCACAACGGTGGTCGTCACCTTTCGCTGCTCGGCTGGCGTAATTAGAAAGGGGTGGCGGGATGCGCGGTTACCTGGTGCCATTTGCATGACAAAGTCTGGAGCTGTAGTGGTGGAATCCACTTAGGCAGCTAAATGGCTAAGCTGCATCGGATCACTATTTATTTAATTTCCCAACTTAATAGCGGGGCGATGTCCTAAGCTTACACTGATTTTATGCACTCTGCTCTCGCTTGCAGACAAAGTTTTCTCATTCCTGTCAAAGGATGAAGTGGAAAAGCTGCGACAGGAGGAGGAGAGGAAAATTGCAACATTGCGCCGTGATAAGAATTCCAGATTACTGGATGCCGCCAACGACAACATTGACAAGAATGCCGCACACCACAAGAACAAGACCAAGAGCAACAGCAACAGCAAGAGCAGCAGCGGCGAGGATAATGACGACAGCGACCAAGAGGAGGCCATCGCTCGCGAGGATTCCGTTGACAACGCCGCTCTGGGGCACTTCGATGATGCGGAGGACATGAGGTGAGTGCGGATGTGCGAAGCTCTCATTTCGGATTATTGGTGCTTGCATTATGCGCTTTTTATGTTACATCTGAATGCACAGACACTCTATACACACACTCCACACCAATCCACCCAATCAATCAATCTATCAATCACCCTTCACCCCATGCGATATTATGATAAGCATACACCCACGTCCCTACACTCACACTCACCCTTACACTCACTCACACACTCAAACTCAAACTCAAACTCACACAACTTTCACGGTGTTTGTGCATTTGCTTAGTATAATCTCTTATGCAAAGTTGAATTTTTAGTTATATTGGTGAAGTTTTTCCGCTGCCTTTTGGTTTGGTTCTGGTGCCGGTTCTCTTACAGCTGCTTTTACATATGGGTTGCTCTTAAGTTTAGATGCCTTCAATCGTTCACATTCAAAAGAACACCACACAAAACACCGCCACTTTTTTTTTACTATCCATGCAGTCAACTGACGGAGCTGCTAATCATCATTGAGACTTAGTGTGTTATTAAATAAGGATAGCGGTCTATGGCTGAGTGTTCTTTAATAGTAAGTACACTCCTCACCACAGACACACACACTCACACTCACACACACACACAGTTGCATACGATTATAAGCGTCTAAGCCCTAAGCAGTTTAAGTTTTATGTAGCACTTAAGCGTTGTATGGACTCGTAAATCGCAGCCAGACTCCCAGCCCTTAGTCTACTTAAAGTGTAAGGGGAAAAAAAACAGTGAGAATCTCGAGAGGGAGGTGGGGGAAAATGACGGAAAAACATGTTATGGTTCTGGCGTTGAAATCTTTTTACTACATAGACCACGCCCGGTGGGCTTCGAATCTCATCTCGTGTATATGATAATCTAGTCGACGCGGCAGAAACTCAAAAGTGTAAGTATATCCGCTGCTGCTTTACTTAATTTTTTGTTCTGGCATTGCGTATACGCAATGTGCGCCTCCGGGCCTTCACCCTTGCTCTTCCATTTGCTCCTCTTCCTTCCGCGTGGGCGTCCTTCTCCGCTCCACACCACTCGAATTCCCTGCGGCACAATGCCAGCTGTTTTTACAATTGAATAACTTCATTTGGGCATTCCGCAAATTGCGTTTTGTGCGTTTGCTCCACTCAACTGGGCGGTGCCAGCTCAGGTTCGTACACGGATTTGGATTCGGATTCGGATTCGCTACGGCTCTCCGGCAATGGATCGGCAAACGAGCCACCAGGAGAGCATCACGCAACACGTACGTATAATACAGTGCCCGCTGGGAATCGATGATTTTATGCTAAGTGTGTTGCAGTGAATTAAGCGCCGCGAATGAGTCGCGGCAGTAGGAGATTCGGAAAAGGGCACACTCGGATTTGGTTGGCTCAAATCATATTTTACACCCTGCTCGAAACGGGCAATTATAATTAGCGCAGTGGTGGGCGGCAGGATCCACTTGATGGGTCCTCAAACCACTGTCGATGGCATGCAACACGTAGCAACCGCAACCATTGTGTCAAAGGGCAACTAGTTTTCCCTCTGTGCGTGAAAAGGGTGCCAACCAGCGGCGAACAAACAAAAACTGAACAATGAAAGAAACTAAAAGCTTATGCCAGGTGGCACCACCCAACCAACCAATGCTATGGTTGCTCCAACCAACAAAAGCGCCACCCATCCGCCCGCCATGGCAGCCATTTCATACGCGGAGCTGACGCTTATCAGCCAACTTTCACACATATGTGCTCCGCTTGGTTGAAGGACTCGCAGTCGTCGTCCCCACGCGATGTTCCAGTGGCTGGCTCTAACAACATTATATAATGAGCAACAACAAAGTAATTTAATACAATTTCGCCCCAAAGCTGTTGCAGGAAAACATTAAAAAGAGCGCAGCCACCAAGCGTTGGCCAAAGTCGCCACTGGAATACCCTTCTCAGGTCATTAGCCCAACGACCAGTTGACCAGTTGTCTGACCTCTGCCATAGACAAGAACACACAGTCTGATGTTTATGTGCTGTTTTAGTTTATAAAAAGTTATCTGACTGATTAGAAACTGCAACCTGTTTCCGGCCACAAGGGTATTCACTGTGGCCAAAGTGGAAAAAATAATAAGTGATAAAAAAGCAGAGACGTGTGACAAGAGCAGATATCATATATCTTGACAACGGGTTCATGACATTTAAGGACTCCGTACTCGTCCTTTGTGTTTGCGAATAGAATTAACTCTAAGAATAGAGCAACATTTCCCGAAAAGCATAAAAAAGAGAGGGCTAATTTCACTTTAGCGTTTATGTACATAGCTTTACAAAGCGTTCAAGGGAATTTCAAAGGAGACGTCCTTTAACTCTTTAGATATGCGATGCTTTTATTTATCTCTGCCGATCGCCAGCGGCATTTGTTCTTCTAAGCCTGCGCACAAATCAAGCCGCCAGAACTAATCATTAAATGCTTACAAATTTGGGAATAAATATCTTATGACTTCATAGTCCCGCGGAGCGTAGAATTCGGCGCAATTTTCCTAGCAGTCGCCATCGTCTGGTTGTCAACTTGGCCGAGAAGACGAGAAGGTGGCCTTGAGGTGGAATTGGTTGGGGCGCAGCTGCCAAAAGTTCGGGAACGAAACGGATGGAGATCCGACCACCCTGCGCCGTTCCCAAAAAACCCGCCTGCCAGCTGGCTTTACAACTTTACATGCATAATATAATAAATTGAAATGTGTGTTATTATGTTGTTCGGGCCGTAGCCTTGGAATTCATAACGAGGAAAAGAAGATAAACATGTTAATAACCTTGTAATAAATTTCTAGCAAGAATTTCTACTAGTTTCGTTCCTCTTTCCTGTTCTTGCTTACATTTTTCCCATGCATAAATTTTATAAAAAAACCAAACAAAAAATAAAAAAGAAGCACGGAGAATATATGCCGAAAAACCCATATCAAATTAGCCGGCAAGACAGTGTTCTCCAAACTATTTGTATTTATATTCAAATTAAACTCGTCTAAATCTATAAAATTTGTGGAACACAAAAGGCTTGCCAGATCCGTGTTTATGAATTTTATTTGCGACATCAAATTGGCTTCCGTGACGACAAAAACCTAGTCTCGATGTCGGCAAAACGCAATCGAATTCTTAGTCGTGCATTAATCGTCTAATTTATTGTTTGATAATTTATGTACTATTATTAGTTCTGTTCCGTCTGTTCCGCCGGGCATCCCACTATACTATTTTCTGCTCCACTCCGTTGATGGCTGATCGCCGAAGATACCGCCGGATTCTACAGATACTCGTACATATACAGATGCAGATTGAGATACTCCCTCGCTCTCGCTTTCAATTGGTTTGCTTTAGCGTTGCTTTTGACCCTGAAAAATATTGGCAGCGACAAGACAATTGGTGGATTTTTGAATGTTTTGTGGTCAGCTGAGATGGCGGCGCGGTGTCGGTTGTTATTCTTTTTTTTTTGGTTTTTTTTTTTTTGTGTCTTCTGTCGGTTTTTATATTAAATTTTTTACATTTAAATGTATATGTTTGCGGCCGTTTGCTGCTTGGACGTTTTTGTGATTTTATGCAGATGAAAATATTTATGTTTTGTTGATTGCGCATAAATTAATTTATATTTTATGGCGTTGGCGCTTCGTTCGTTCCTCAAATGGATCGCGCCGCGGCGTATGCAAATCGTACTGCCGTTGTCTGTGTGTCTGATATAAAAGCATAATTTGACCTTAAGCTAAAATGAGGGCGTTAATGATGTTTTTGTTTTCCTTTTCCTTAGTCTATTTTATAAATTTTTTTGGTTCGCTGGACGGTAGTATGCGTTTTTTTGTCGGCTGATTGTTTTGTTTGGGTTGTTGCTTTTTTGGTCACATTAATATTAATTACAACGTCGTGGAAATCCCAGCTACATTTTGCCGCAGACAGAATAAAATCCCCGTGGATAAAAGAGAACCAAACCAAACGAAAAAGCGGCGGAGATTGCTTTGCCGAAGGAGCATTGTGTTTATTATTTTACAATTAGCTTGACTCTCTGCACCTTTTTAATTGTACACCACAAAAACCTTTCTGTTTCTGCTTTCCAAACCACTTTTGCAGGAATCCACTCGAAGAAATTGAAGCAGTATTTAGAAGTTAAACTAAACTAAGCTCTGACACCCTCACTACGACTTGTGCGAATGTGACACGTTTATTAATCATAGCTTTAAGTGTAACCTCCATATAATACTATGTATGTAAAGTGTTCATTTCGAACGAGACTTTTTTCGAGACTAAGCTACACCTCTACTGAAGCGAGCAGTAAACCAACTAATCTGCAATATAAAGTCATTTTTATACTGCGACACGAAAACTTTTTATACCCGTATGCCCCGTAACATGTTAACGCTGAAACGTAAACTTTATAGAGTGACAACTACCACAAACTCCGCCCCCACAGCCACGCCCACTCTCACCTGATATGGATAAAGGCATGGTGTTAATGCCACATGCTGTCTCTCCCTTTTGCATTTTATTAGCCTAATTATTTCTCTCTTTTCAAATTGCCCAACTTTCCGAACAACAACTACTAGTCTGTCTGAGTTGGCTACACTTGAAATTTTTCAGTACACATCCTGCACACTCACACACCTGCAGCACTTCTAGGACCTTCACACACTCACACACACACAGAGAGATATACTACTATACTTAACTGCACACGTATACTAAACACCCGTACACAAACGAACTCCAGTGCCTTGTGTGTTGCTTGCATAATTTATATGCGTTTTGCATTTTTGAAATGTTTGTTATTAAAAATAATGATTTTTAGAGCAGGACAAGAAGTCCAATTAGTTGTCTGTGTTCCTTTCGTAATGTCACCTTTGCCTCCCGGCACTTTTTTAATTGCCATAGATTAATGTGTGTAGATAAAGTCACGATTTCGCAGTCAGACACGCAGGTATTGTCGGGTTAATGTCGACTTATCGCCTTAGCGATTTTAAATCCTCGGATTACGATGCATTTACCACGATTGTTACTCGTTAAACATACCAGAATCTTGAATTTAATTTATGAAAACTCAACTAATTTACAGGGACTCGAGGTGTTCTATTTATATGCCCATTATAGGAAGTTAGCGTTTATAGTTCCTGAGTTTTATTTCGAAAACAAGCTGTCAGCAAAGCAAATGTATTCCTAAAGTCTCCAGCTGGTTAAGTTTTACGATAGTCAAACGGTGTTATAACTCTCGATATATTTTATAAATATTTATATGTTAATATCTGTGAACAAAGCAACCACATAAATAAGAACTGCTTAACGATGTATTTAAATAACTACTGACTATGGTTATGGAATCACACCAATATCATTACCATTACCATTACTATTATTAATCATCCACATATGTACGTATTTGTCATCGATCTGTGCCATACATATTTTATGTAACTCTGTTATTTTGCATACAAAAGAAGTACAATTTATGATACTAGAAATAAAGGCGAATGATTTAAATTAGCTTTACTGTAATTTATTTATCCCACCAATCACCACATTCCTGTAATTGTTAAACTTTAACCAATACTCAAGCACTCTTTGGTTGTGGTTTTTGCATTATTTAGCTCACCTACTTTTTACCACTGCCACTTGACTTTTATTGGGGTGTTTTGATTATACGGGCTTTCATCATAATGAGCAATTAGCAATTGAAAGATGAAAAACAATCATTTAGAGCTGCGAATGGATGGGCTTGGGTGAAAAGAAAGTTTCATTGGCCATTGCATAAATCTGTCAATTGCAAAAGTTGAACGCGCCGGAGTTCGTTTGTGGGTCCCAGAACATAGAGAACATAGCTTGGATTATTGTTGGAGGCGCTCGGTCGAGTGCAGGGGCAAAGTTCATTTAAAAGTCGAGAGGACAAATGAATGAATAAAGGGAGCAAGGAGGCAACGAAATGAGCAAGAAAGGAATCCACTAGAATATTATAAGTGCAGTTTCCTGGGTCAGGAGCTCGGCGCACTTTGGCTACTCCACGTAGCCTTAGTTGGCTGCTTCATTCCGGATCCTGGCTCCGCCAGATTCCTCGGGCATGACATTTGCGTAGGTAGCGAGAGTGTTTCAACGAAAAGTTTCTCTCTCCCTTACCGCCGCTGGTGCTCCAAGGACCAAGGACCCAGGACTAAGGAGCCCGGCGGCGTTCAAATTGAAAAACATAAATCACTCAAGCAGAAGTTGCTGCCAGCGACTTAGTAGTAGTAGAAGTCGTAGTAGTATGTAGTAGTAGCCCCGGCTTTGTGTGAATAATTTCGTATTAAAGTTAAATTGAAAGTGTGTAGCAATTTGTTAAAGACTAAATTCAGTTTAGCTGCAAGGAGGGCATAAAAAAGCCAAGCGAGCGGATAGGCCACAAAGTTCAGACAGAAGGAAGGAAGGATTCCAGCCAAAAACCCATTGCAAATAGTTCTAAGGCGCTTTATTTTAAAATTAATTTTGCATACTACTATGCTGCTGCCATGCCGAAGCTCAGTGAGCATATATGTACGACCAATGTTATGTAGTGGAAGACGGCCCTTGCCAAGTTGTACGACTCCACAGACAGTGGCTCCTCGACTGCTCGACTCCTCGGCTCCACGCTAATCTCCAGCTGCCATGTTATTGCACTTGTTGGCAAAGTTTTTCAAAAAGTGATTTTGTCAGGGGTTTGGCGGCTGGGGTCGCTTTCTCCTTTCGGGCTGCAAACTTTACAGTATGTTTCTTGGTTTTTAATTACAACAAATTCGACTTGTTATGCCAAAAAGTTGCCAGGGATACCAGGGCACGTACGCAAGTGTGACTAAAAGAAATTAACGTCATTATGTTTTGTAACTGCTCATATCACGTGCTAACCGCATCTCACCGATCCACCCTTTGGTTTTGACAAGCAAATAATTTGATTAAATTTACATATATGTGTGTGTTGTTTTACTTTTGCACAATTCGAACACGAAAACCAACTCCAACCAAAAAATTATGACAGAACCGCACAAAGTCTGGCGCCGACAATGCCACATGCCCCCAGCAAAATACCCAAGCAGAAGTTGAAAGCGAAACAGATTGAGGCGACTCCTCCTACACCCACGGCACTTGATCCGCCCAAGCCCTCGCTGCTGCCCAAGCCAAAGGTCAAGGTTGTCATTCCACCAGCACTGCAGCAACGTCTTAAGCAGCAGCAGGTGCAGCAGCAGCAGCAACAGTCCCAGCCCGAAGAGCCCTCGATTCCGGAGGAGGAACCTCAGCAGCAGCAGCAGCAGCATGAGCCGGAGCCGGATTCGCCCACCGCCGCAGGGGGCAGTCGCATACCCGTAAGAACCCTAAAGGCCGAACGCCGCGCCCTGGCCTTGGCAGCCCGCCAATCCGGACTGAGTGTGGAGGAGTATCTGAAGCGACTGGAGACGCAGGATGATAAAGAGTCCCCGGTTTCGCCCACAACGCCCACTGGCAAAAGCCGTTCCATGATTAAGTAAGTTGAATGCGTGACGGTCAACGAGTTGACATGCGTGCAGGTCCGGGTCCATGTCCAGGCCCCCCCGAAAGGTTACAGGTCAAAAGTGGTCCAAATGTGGGCGTGCGATTTGCCAGAGACTAGCCCCTGGCCTAGGTTGGACTATACAGAACACCCACACCAAATGCACCCACTCACGCGAGGCAATGCGAACAGCTCTCAATGTTTCCGTACATGTATATCTTTGTATATTTCTATATGTCGATTGGAACACCTACTTCTACATCTTTGTTTTTAGTTAGCGGTGTCTGTTCTAGCCACACCACTTCTCCTTTCTCTGTCTGTAAATACAATAGTCATATCTTGTAATTAGTTTTGCTTAAGCCGGAGTTCAGATTGAGTATCAGTTGCCCACACATCTCGAGCGGAAGTTATATGTGCTAACCAACTGTTTCTCGTCCATTTAGTGCTGAGAAGCGCGCCTCCTGGCGGGCAGCTCGTCTTCGATCCCTGGAACAGGGAGCCGTCGAGGCACAAGATGTGATCAAGAATATGCGCAAGATGACCGACGATCTGATCACCCACGAGTCCAGGGCCAGCGAGGTAAGTTCCCCAGTCGGGGTGAAGTCCATGAAAACTAACCGAACCCATAGCCAAACCCAAAAACCATATACATTAACTTGCGCCCGATGAGATGGAGGAATGGCCCGAAATTCGCCTGCGAACATAACCAAAAACGAGCAAAAGAACCCACATAGCTACATGGTTTGCTTCACTAACTAACTGCAAGAAATACTAATATCCTTCAGCCCCTCGATTGTAACTAATGAAGGTGCAAAATCGAATCGAGACATCGGGATCGGCAAATGTGCATCCCTCGTGAATGAAAATTTAAATGGAAATCTACTCCCCTACCTAATACGTTTTTCACCCATTTCTCTATCTCTTATTTATTGTCTACCCACTAATCAGGCTCAGCCGAAAATAGTCTTTCCAAAAATTGCCATAAAATCGAGCGACGGTCCAGTCATTGTGCGCGAACGCGAGAAAATCCTCGATGAGAAGATTGTGCGCCGCACTGAGGAGGTGGCATGCCCCATTACGGGGCGCCCTCAACTGCGCACCGTCGAGTACATTGAGAAAATCATCGAGACGGAGGTTAGAGCCAGCAAATCAAATTCAAACCAGCAATTACTGTATTATATATCAATTGGCACCAATTTGAGTTTCGTTTGAGCATTATTATGGGTTGCATACCGTCCTAGACACATTATATATACCTAATTATCGGCTACTGTTGCCGTTGTGTTGCGTGTGTTTTGTATCCCAGCAATTGTAGTCCGTATTTCCGGTTGCACATTAAGTACATTTTATGCACCCACACCCATAAAGCACTCGCCAATGTCTCTCATTGTACAAAGCAAACATCTCACGAAGAATTCGCGGCATCGTCTTAATTATTTTATAGAGCTCATCATTTTTATGGTCTGTTAAAAATGTCTGTCCGTCTGTCCGTCTGTCCGCTCGTTCGTTAGACCTTCTCCGATTTCCTTGGCCCTCCATTCCGGGAAAGTTTGTCCAACTGCTGAGCGCCACGTTGAGTAAAACAAATTTTAATATCCTTGAAGCACTCAGTTGCCAAGGGGATTTTGTTGACATTTGCCAGGCTTACGCGACCAGGTGCTTCACGCTCACGCCGACGAGTCTTCGGCGGAAGTGCAGCGCATAAAAAGGACAATAAGCCACTTTTGCGAGCCACCTACGCCAAAAAGGTTTTCGCTCTTCGAATGCGGAGCGCGTGAGCGAGCGGCCAAAAATTATTTCAAGTTATTGTTTGGCATTTGAGTGTCGCGGTTTTTTTAAGGTCGAACCCTCGAAAGAGTTTCATTGTCTGTTTTCAGGGTTTGTTGTTGTCACGTGTCTATAAAGCTATAACGACTCAGTCGACCGTCATTTGACTCTTGATTCTGGATACAATTTTTAGTATGCGAACGCATTATAATGACGCGCTGCTTTTTATGGCCGAGTCCATTAAAATTAAGGCAAAAGTTTTTTGGTTTTGGCTGTTTGCTCGCAGGGGCAGCCGACTTTTAATGAGTTTCAAAATAAATACATACTTATATAAAGAATGCAAATAAAAACAAACAAACCAGGCAAACACGCTAAGAATTTTATGCGCTATTGTTATTCTGCGGGCACGTGTTTCGTTCAGGTTTTTTTTTTTTTTTTTTTTTGGCATTTTATTTTCAATTTGCCAACGAAAGGAAGGAAGCGGCATCAGAAACAAGCCAAAAGAATGTCAACGGCAAGAAAGAAGGCCTTCTGGCTAGCAAACTGCAGTTGCATCGCATCTGTGCAACTGCAAGCGAAGCTTTAGCAGTATCTGATTCTGAATCCGAATACGGCTGTGGTTTCACTCTGGTAATTCGAGTGCAAAAAACTTGCCTGCAGGGCAAAAGAGACGGAGACCCGAGCCTCCTGTCCGGAGGCTGACCCCGTTGCATTGAATTCGCCGCAGGATGTCGCCGGAGCAGGCTCTGTTCTCGGATTGCCTGTCAGCTGCAGTTTAGTTTCGGCTTATCGTCCCGGTCGGGATTCTTATGGGCCGGAGTCTCCCGCCCCAGGACCAGATGAAAATGCTGGCAATTTTCTTTTTTAGTCGTTTGTCAATTTGCCTCATATCACGTATACGACTAGGCTGCCCCCGAGCGTGCCAGCTTCTCGAAATTCGCCCAGGTCGTGATCGGATCAACTGGAACTTTAAAAATGTTGCACGTTCACTACACAACCGCCCACCCACCCATAATTACTAACTTTAACTAACACCTGTACCTGTACATACAAACATGCGTAGCCTTCACCATCTGTTTTTAATGCATCACTCCTTTTGGCCTGGCTCACATCTCAGTTCACCCGTCAAGCTGTTCGTTTTCCACCTGGCTGTATAAATTAGCTTTAAGCGCTTTGAGTGGGTCACACATCTCTGGTTGCGGTGCCTGCTTTCTGCTTTCTGCCATCTGCTTTCTTGGCCTTGCTTCCATTAGTAGTTAGTGTGCTGGCAAACCGAATGCACAACGTATCCGACTCATCTACACTTAGGTGGAGACCTGCAAGGAGCGCATCATATCCTTGGAGCTGCAGGTGCCCGAAACGGAGGACGGGGGCAGGCTAGATGACACGCAACCGCCACTGGAACTCGAGGCGGATGACTTCCAGGACGACGAAGATGACGACGACGACGACGATGAGGAAGAGGAAGAAGAAGACTACGAGGATGAAGATGAAGAGGAGGACACCGCCTCCATTGTGACCGTGCAGGCGAACAATGAGAAGCTGTTCCTGCGCCACGATTCCGATACCTATGGTCCTTCGTCCATTGAAAGTGTCGCATCCGGCAAGGTGCGCATCAAGCCCACGCCGCTGTCCCTTCACCAAACGCTGGCCAAGGAGACCACAATTGTGGAGGTACTGAATCCCGTCATCGGAGGCGACGGCAGTGCCCGCACCATCCACGTGAGCGGTGGCATGCCCTTCGAGGAGGACGCTTTTGAGCAGGGCGCCGTGGCCGTGCTGCGCAGCGAAACTTTCGTGCTGCCAGGAGCCGCCGGCGGTGGCAGGTCTGAGTTGTCATTAAACGCTAAAATGAAAACCGTGCTCGAGGAGCTGCTGGAGAACGAGCGCGTCAAATTGAATTTGCAAAAGAGTCTCGAGGGCGAGGAAGCGGAGGACGATGACGAGGACGAGAGTGGCAGTGCCTATGGCGACGCGCGGGACGATGTGGGTAGCGCCTATGGCGATGCCATTGACGATGTAGTTGACTTTGGCAGCGCCACGGTCACGAGCCGCTCAGCTAATGATAAGGAGGATGTCAAGAATGGGAATGAGCAGCTCCTCGAGGAGCTGATTAAGGACAGCAACCGCAACACAATCATTGCTAAATTGGCGGGCCAATTGTCAGACGATGATGAAGAGGATGACGACGAGGAGGAGAGCAGTGACTCCTCGGACGAGGATAGCGATGACTCCGACGAGGAGGACAACGCTCAGGAGCAGCTGAATGTCACCTATGTGCAGGGCGCCCAGGTGATCGAGAATCTCAATACACTGGCCACGGGCGGAAAGCTGCAAAAGTCGCAGACCTACACCACCATCAAGCAGGCGGAGGAGCCAAAGGAAGAGGACACAAAACTGGAGGAGGAACCAACCTCGGAGACGCCCTGCGGAGCTGATACCCTGGCCCAACTGCAGGCCGAGCAACGCGCCCTGGCCGAGATCTCAAAGCAGTTGCGCAAGTCGGTGGAGGATTTGCTCAGCGCCGATGGCGAGACGGTGGTGGAAACTCAAAGGACATACACTTTGCCCGCTCCCAGCGACAGTTCAGCCGTGGTCACCGTCACCGAGGTGGTCAAGAAGCAGAAGAAAAGGAAAAGCGAAACCGGGGAGGAGATTTTCAATCGCCTCCTAAACGCCGGAGAGTCGGAACGTCAGGTTTTCGACCGACAGCAGGGTGAGACCATCACAACCACCACCACGACCACAGAGGCTGTGAGCTCGGAGGACAACGAGCCGAGCACCAGTGTGGTGACCACCACGCGGACTGTGTCCAATATCGTGACCAGCGGCATTCCCAGGCCAGAAACCAGCAAGCAGAACAACCGCAGCAGCAGCAGCAACAGCAACAGCAACAGCAGCAATAATAACCGCAACAAGAACAAGCGAAAGGGCAAAAAGAAGTAGGGGATATCCGGCAGCAGCTGGAAGGAAATGGGCTGAAGTGTTCAAGTTGCGTATACGCCGTGTGGTGGGTATGGGTATGAGTATGTGATCCGAGTGAAACCCTACGCGCACAACCTTCCGCACAAACACACTCACTGCCCACACACACACACACACATACAAACACACATATCAGCGTGTTAGAGGGCTCGTTGTCATCTCTCTATATTAGAACCACTAATTGTATACATATGTATATTATGTATGTACGATATTCGCATATGTATTGATAATTTTAATTAATTGTGCAAATAATGTGTCCCCTGCATTTACAATATCCCATTTGTTACTAATCATCAAAGTGTACGCATTAAAACAAAATATTTTCATTGCAAATTAAAAACAAATCGAATTGCCGAATGATATATTGCAAGAATTTAACTGCAAATTTAATGTTGTGCAGCAACCGCAAAGAAACGACAACAACACAAATCGCCACACTGAGCCCATCAGAATTGAATTAATACGACAACAGCATTGGAAGTAAAAAAAAGGAAACAAAAATCTTATTTAATTGATTTAAATAATTTCACTTTGTTTGCATTTAACTATCATTTGCATACTGCATCTGGTTTTTCTCCCTCATTGCGTTTTTTTCCAAATGGGCTTTGCTTATTTTCCACAAATTAAATTTACGTTTTATGTTCTAGCACAAAAAGTAGGAGCAATCCCAAATCCGTGCCCAGCAGCCGGCCGAAGTATCCACGATGATCCTTCACGAGAACCATTTTTAAACTTTAAGCATTCCGAGTGTCCGAGTTTTTCGGGCATACTCTTATTAGTTTTAGCCATAAGCAAACTAAACGCAAACTAAATGAAACTAGATTCGAAACGAAACGTCGAGAGCCGAGAACATAAATCAAATAATCGTAAATAATAATAGTAGTTAGCAGTGTGTAAGAGCGTCCAGTTGTAATCCGTAGTATGTAACACATGGCATAAGCACAACTATGACAAATGTCCTATGGCGATTTCAGTTTCCACTTTTATACAAATGTAAAAATATTTACAAGCAATTTTATGTAATACCTTATGATATTTAGTGTGTAAACTCGTCTTTTTATGAAAACGAAAGCAAATGCAAACGCAACCCGAATGAAAATAAACAAATTGTATGGATTTTTATTTAAAAAACAAAGAAAAATTGTGTACATTTAATTTGCCGGTGAGCATCTCGTCGTATTGGGCGATGCTTTATGGCATCTGAATGTGGATTTTCTGTCATCATATTTGCGGGGGCGTGTGTAATTACGTCAACAGTATTTTCTGCATATAATCCACATCTATAATAGACAGCGCTGCTATTAATGAGCCGCTTCGAATTGTGTAAATATGGCTGAGACTCGGCTGAAATGCTGTTAGTTAGTAGCATATAAATAATGCACGTCAGGTAAGTTTCTTTAGCGGTACACCTAGAGAAATGTAAACACATTTTTTTGCTTCTCCCTAAAGATGATAGCTTTAGGAATAGTTTACTCCTCATCTCAACTTTCTCTGAGTGCACTTATCTAACAGCCATTTTGATTGCGCTGAGCATAAAAAAGTGAAATACTGTTAAAGCCGAGACATTTAAGGAAAGGCTCCGCATTTATTTATGCGGCACACAACACCGAGCACACATGTCCCGTGTTCTGTGACGCAGCGGAAGAGGCTGCCACGCCGTGATGGAAGATACGGCGGCAAAGATACGGGACTAGATCCTGGTTCTGCAACTAGGACGCTCAACAAACGTCTTCCGACACGGCCTGTTGAGACAGTGAAATAGATAGACAGCTGCCAGGTCCGATGGCGAACGGGAGAGGGGGCAGTTGCTAATGTGAAAATCGTTAGAATTCGCTCAGTACGCAGAACTTTCCACCGGAATCGCCAGGCTCACGTTCACTTCACTGTTTGCTGCAGTGTGCATAATACGATTTAGAGTGCGCAGCACATGGGGCAGATACTTACATCGGTATGCACTTGCGTCAGTATCTTAAATATTTCATGCCCACCAATCGAATTAAGCCCTGCTGCTGAATGCTCCCGCTGATGTAGATGTTGCATGTTGCAAGTGCAATGTTGATGCTGTTGCTGCTGCTGCTGCTGCTGCTGCTGCTACTGCTGTGCCTGAAGAAGACAAATGAATGCGGCGTTGGCGGTTCCATGTAGGCGCCCTTGACCGCCCGCCGCCTTTTTCACGCTCTCCTGGCCACGGTGCACATTTGCATTCTGCATTTCACTGGCCAGCTATCCAGCTTTCAAGTGCAGGAGCCACTGCAGCGACTATGGCGTCGCTAATGCAGATGCAGCAGCAGCTGCAGCAGCAACTGCAACAACAGCATTCCCAGCAGTAATATCCCAACCAGCAGCAGCAATGCGCATTAATCAAAATCTCATCTTCGTGGGTGGCAGTCGCACAAATACAAACACCCACTCAAATACGGGCCACGTTGTTGTTTACGTGTCCGCAGAGCAATGGAAAACAAAAACAGTTTGTCATATTTTAATACACTCCAGTGGTCCGGCAATGCAGCACATACAGGCGGCGCTGTCGTGGCCAAAAATCCAGCCAATTGTCGTCCCCTGTCACATTTAATAGGATTATGCTTGGTTAAACACAAATATCCTTGCACGTACATACACATACATTCGCACACACATAGTCGCACCATGGGTGACACATAAATTTACAGCGTTGGCTGTTTGAAATTTTTCGCATTACACACATAAATCCAGCAAAGATGGTCGTCGAAAACCTCTTGAAAAATGTCCACTGTTTGTTTATACAGCTCCGCACATATGCTACATACCTGCACCGACACCTACACACATACGCAATGCCGGCAGGTATGGAAGCTCGTGTGTGGCCAGGTGAGATGGGGTCCTGGTCCTGGTCCTTGGTCCTTGCTCCTTGCTTCTTGGTCCTTGGGCGCGTGCTCGGCGAGCTATTTGCCGCCGCCCGTAGCTGAGTTATCTGGCAAATAATGGAACGTGCTGTGCAGATGATGCGTTTTCATAAATTTTAAATAAGCACAGCAGCTGGCACAGGACTCCCAGATCCCAGAACCCAGAGCCCCGGCCAATCCATTGGAGCAGCTGAGCGACGGCGATAGAGAGACAATGGAGGACACTCTGTGCTGGTGCATAATATCAAATTTTATTCGAAAGTTTAGTTGCGTTTGCTTAACGCCCGGCTCTTAAGTTGGCTGATTCATTTATCAAGCACTTTATCAGCAGCAATCGGTGAGAATGCACGCTCCGACGGACAGTAAAATATCTACAGAGGGCTATATTAGATTTGCCCGAGAGCTGCACGGAGAAAATCCAAGAATTGTAAATCGAGTCATCAGTTAAATAGTTTTCCAATAAGGGGAGTCTCATATGGCATAAAGCTACTAGAAGTTTCTTAAGATTGTATTTTATAAAATATCTTTAAAATGCTCAGTTGAGCTATTAACAATATCTTAGATTGGAAAACCTTTTAAAATATATGTTAGAATTACGAGAATCTATTTGCACTGAAGTACAGTAACCTAACCTCCCAATATAGTTTCTGAGCTGTACGCTGATTATATAAACTTCACTTTGTTGCGCTTTTTGCCCAAGTGTGTCAAGTTGATCTCAGCATGAGTTACTCTCCGCACGGGAAACTCGGGAAAGGGCTATTGGAGCAGGGACAATGAGTGGATAGCTCGCAGATGGGCTGATGGCTTGATGGCCTGATGGGCTTTGTCTAGCCCATAAAAATGCATGGCCCGCATTGCAATTTTGATTGCGATGCCCCCGTTGGCGAAGGGGGACTTGTTGTTGTGCTGCTCCTTCAGCCTGTTGCTGTTCGGGAAATGCGGAAAGTGATGGAAATGCGCATGCGCTGGAAGTGGGACACAAACTGTTGCAGTTGCGAGTACAAAACATTGCCCCTTCGAGGGCCATTTTATCCGCTGCCTTATCCAGTCTAAGGCTTTAATAGTTGTTTGCGTGGGGCAGGTTCCCCAAACGGGACGTTTCGCTCGGCAGCTCGTCGTCTTCGTCGCCATTTCGACTGGAAGCCTATGCAAAGTTCGCATTTTGTTTCTTCGCTGCCTGGAATGTGGATATTTGGGCTGGCCCAGCTAACTCCACCGCCCCCTGAAAGCATAACAAAAAACAGTGGAATGGAAACCACCAAAGCCCTGAGGCCTTACCATCTTCCTTTTTTTTTTTCTTTTTTTTTGTTTGCCTGTCCTGGCGCTGTTCTTCTTTTTCGCACCACTGCGGCAACGGCTGCTTTGCAATTGCAATTTTCAAGGATATGCTTGAAGCAGATTTATATGGCGGGCTCAGTACGTGCGGAATTTATTAATGCCGCCCTGGAGAAGCTACCCCGTTTTTGCGATTTTTTTTATTTTTTTTCGCCATCGCCATCATTAGCTGGAGCAACAATGATGCCACCCACCGCCCAATCAACCCGCCAAATGTTACGTAAGGTGAGTGAGCGGCACATCGAAGTTCGCACATTAATAATGAGCTGTGTTTGTTGTTCTGGTGAGAGTGGTGGCAAAATTTGAATCGTGTGCTTGTGCTGCATTTTCTATTACCAGATTTCCGACTCCTGCCTCTTCAGAAACGCAAATAGAAAGAGACTCCACGGCACACCTCGTGTTTGCTTGCCATCCCAGCTCCGCGAACTTTGGCTCCCAATTTCGGACTGTAGATGTCAGTTGATGGGCCGCTTTTCCGGAGAAACTAGGGAAAAACAGCGCTCACGTACGCGCATTAACGAACTTCGGTGCTTAAAGTGCAGTCGAAGGCGAGAGCAAACAAACAGACGCCAACAAACAAAACCCGCAGCGCTTCACGCCATAAAAGTTTATCCGTGTTTGTGCAGTTGCCCAGCATGCTCCATCTCCCCGTGGTAATGAGCTCCAAGTCCAAGAAGAAAGACCAGGTGGCGCGACTAGTATCCATGGCTTGGCATAATTTATTCCGCAGAAGTTGAAACCATCGCTTTCAATTGCTGCCAAAAGGTTCCGTCCAGAAGGTATTATAAGGAAGTGTATTGAGTTCCCTCGATTAATTTTCCAGCCAGCTCGACTGCCGTTAATTAATTTCCATACATGCCGCATATGGAGAAGATAGTCGCAGGCAGAATCCTTGCAAGCTGGCTGGCGTACCGGCACTTCATCAGCGGTGCAGGCGGAAAAATCTGTTAAATTGGATGGTTTTCAGCTTTACGGACAGGAAACTCCCATTCTCAATTTGCATACATTTTGATTGTGATTATCCCGGGCCACTGATTTAAATGCGGACGGATAAGGATGTCGCTCTTCGCGGGCGTCACAGGCGACGAGGCGAACACAAAGGATAATGCCTCCTCGACTGGCTGCATGTGGCAGATGGACCGCTGGCTGCACCAGCTGCACCAGCTCATTAATACACACGGTGTCCTGGCTACAGTAACAACTACAAGTGCACATACATACAGACATACGCCGGCAAACGCAATTCCGCGGCTTGTACGCCGCTTTTCCTCATCCGCCGACGATGATGAGCTTGTGGTCAGCTGGTCCATTTCAGGCTCATTGTTTTCCATCGGTTAATGGCCAGCCTGTTTTTAAATCGGCCGAATGAGGTGTGTGTATGTCGGCGGCAGCATACATACCTACATATTTTTAAATTCCTTTTTAATTAAAATAGCATTAACCGAGTGTGAGTCGAACACATGTAGTGCAAGTGAAAGGCACCCATCGTCAAACATTAAGTTATGCAAGCTATTTGGTTACTGAGCTTGCTCGAATAGTTTATTACTGTTTCAAAAGTTATTTTAATAAACTGCCACAAGTTATAAAGTAT